GTATATATATATATATATATAGCGCAGCAGTGGCACAGCAATGTGGTTGCCTGCTAACCTGCCTACCTATCTGGGCAGTAGGTATCATAATCTTCATTTTTGGACTAATCATGATTTGTATCTGCGTTAGGGTCAGGCGGCTTTTCGGCACAATGGATGCGGGACGATGACACCAAAAAACGAGATATAATGGAAGAACATTCTAGGTAGAAGCCCAATTGCTGTCTCCATCTACTGAACAAAATAGCACGACAAATCACGCTCTAACCGTTTGTATTCAACTATTTTAAACTCCTTACGGAGAGATCTATTCAGTGCAACGTCATTGCAATCTGGCTTGTTATGAACCATCACCCACAAGTATTTTGTGATGCGGTTTGTCCCAGAAACGTAATGGAGAGTACGGCTAGAATCAAGTTCTCTCTGATGTTCTTCCTTTAGTTCCGGCACTCTTTGCGATCACTCAGGCCTTTGTTTTTTCAGCTTCGTCTTCATGATCCGGTTGGGCATGGAGGGTATACACAAGAAACTCCTCAACTTCTACTCCAGCTTTTGGGTGATATGCTCCAATTGTACTGGGGTCAAGATGGACCAGTGTCGAGGAAAGGTCTACAGGAACTCTATTGTGCGGGTCTAGAAACTTGCATTTTTCCAACTCCTACACAACCACAGGATACAAACCAGAATCTCGCTGAGGTTCAGCCCCCAAAGTCCGAATGTATGGATTGCCTTGATATGCTAACCTGGATGAACTACGCCGTGCTGATGTGTCAACACTTGGCTCCAGTAAGGCCCGCACCGAAGACCACAGTGGAGTTCACGGTCGAAGCACTCACGGCTGCCGCGGAGTTTCCGGGTGGGTTGATTAAGTCAGTTGGTGTTTGAGACAGTTTATATTAAAATGGATATGGCGTGTTGTAAATATTTTTGAAATGGTTTACTAGCACCCTGTATCTCTACGCTATTGTGACAGGTGGAGATCTTTCATGTTTTCCTGCACTTCCTTGCTTCAGGATTTGATGTTTCTAGTAGCATAGGGCCTTTATGAAAGGATGCGGAGTTTCAGACGCTCTGCTTCAAGAGGAACGGTGTCAAGGAACTCGATGTGGCAAGTAACCGAGGAGGATTCCTGGTGGAAAATCGATAAAACAACTCAACACAAGCAATGGGAAAAGATTAAGTAAATCGCGTACGTAACATCCGATTAGTCGGATGGATCGAAGACACTTGCTGATTCAAAACTCCTTGCGTAAATCCTAAAATAAACGGACTCAGTCAGTTTTTGAAGAGAACTCTATTGCGGAAAGCTGACGGGGTGCTGGTGTTAAGTGTCGGCAACAGTACGGGATATCGTAACATTCGTACACAATCGAACAAGCCAGATAGAAAACCACTGTTAGAACATCATTTCCAATTACTTGGAGTCATTCAATTCAGAAACTTATCATAATCGAAGAGAATCATATTAACCTGCATACACGCATATATTATCTTTATGCCTTTCTGTGAAGCTACACTTTGTCCATCTGTTGTTTCTAACTAGTTTAACTGATGGATCTTATCAGTGTTGAAAAGCCCAGAAACAATGAAACAACATTTGACCGAGTCACTGCAGTCTGTACCGCTGTTTGCGTATAGTTACTGATGTGTGGTTCGCTAGCATCCCACATGTCACTGAGTTTATGTAGGAAGTTTATCTTTTCGACATTTGCATACCCATTTGGTTGTCACAGGAGATTAACCCGGAGCACACCTGAATCTCTCGTTTATGATGTCCTTCTTCAACTGGCCAGCATTAGCATCATAAAAAAGTGATTCAGCTGGGTTACAGGTGAGTTTCCCGTGAAAACCAAATTGGTGTGCAAATGAACGCACTTGTCAAAGTTCGTGCTGTTCGAGTTCAAGTAGAAAACAAGGCTGACGGAAACTCGCTGATTGCGCACACCTGGTGAGTTCCAAGAAAACCGGTCGTGGGCGCCCGAAGATTTCTGAGCAACCTTACGAACAATTCGTCACGTCTATAATTGTATGTTTCGTTCCAAACCTCCACAGCTGCTGCTGACACTCCAACGCACACTTGAAGTGTTGGACACCTCGACACTTTCTTACAAGAAGTTCGTACGCTTGACATCCTGCGATGTGCTACACATAGGTGAAATGGCGTTGATATCAGCCGGGACAGATTTGTCGCTTATGATCTCAAAAACGTGTTGTCATAGCAGTTGACGAGAGCCGTTTGCCGATCGATACCCCCGAGGGACGAACGTAGGGCGAGGCTGTTTCTGCAAAATCAGGTCTATGTGCTGCAGGCTGCAGGGGAGGTCTGAGAGAATAACCCAATCACCTATACGATGATTCGTGACTCTCAGAATCTTCCACAGGATCCAATGAGGCTTTACAAGATATAGCCTCAAAGCCTGAAGGCGATCAAAGTGAAAGTTGGAGGCCTTGTGAAATCCTAGATTTGGTACAAGGCAGTGAAAACTTGGGTCAGAGTTTTAATCCAAGTATAATCCCTACAGCAACAGTTAGAATTTCGGGTACCAGTAAAAGTCGTCTAGCTTGACACGATCACGAATGTTCTTTCGTGAAGTGGTATCAAACTAAAGGGTAAAATATTTACACAAATTTGCGTGGAAGCATGCGAACCACTTGCTTGTGTAACGATGATGAGAAACTTGGATGCATTTCTCGGAGGATACTGTAGAAGTGGAAACACTTTCGTATCTCATCGCTCCATGATTGAACCCTCTAATTCACATTTTTAGAGGATTACTTGTCGTATTATTCCGTTGTGAATAAGGAGAAGCTAATGCATTAGAAGAGTTTCACGGGTTCTGATAGAGCTAAGTTTTAAAGGTCGCTGATCAAAATACCTTCGTCTAGGTTCTTTGACAAACAGTAGTGTAACGTAAAGATATTGGTTTAAGACATTGTTCGTCGACCGATCAAGGACTTGTTTGACAAGAAGTATGGAACCACTACATCGTGAGTTTCTTAAAAATATGACACACGAATGACGTGAGAAAGTAGTTGCTGTGTGGTCTGCAGCATACTGAGAAGTGAAGGATTCCGAACAACCACGTTTCCTAAAACGATTTTTCGTCCTCTCATATTATGACAACTTAACAAAACAGAAGCCATAATAATAATAGTTCAGCTGTAATGCGGTGCCTAGCTGCCATGTCATCCGAAGGGGGAACACGGACTTAGATACTGCCAGGTTGTCCAAGCCCAGTTAGGCCTAGTCGAGATGCTGGGATTGGGTTTAAATCACGGACCTTCCGGTCAGTAAGTTCGCACCTTAACCACTGAGCTATCTGGCACTCAGGAACTAAACTGTGGCTCACTCGGGAGCTAAAAACCCTTTTACATTACATTACATTAGTACTATATCAGTAGAAGGCTGATATCCGACAATCTGGGAATAAATTGTAGGCATAGTGGTATCTATACTCGTTTTCCTGTCAGATACCGCACAAATATCGAGGCTCACTTTCATGGCAGTTTGGTCGCTTACTGCGAATCTGCACAGCATTCCCTCCGGAACCGTCCTGTGTTTTGCCGGTTTTTTAAACTCAGAGTTCTCCACAAAATGATGTATAACATGTAGGTCAAACTATGATGTATAAGTGGTCATGGTGTATGGTCAAAATAGTTGGACGAAGGCAGATTTGTTGGTTGTCCTGGCATCAGACTGTGTTTGTTTTGGTCTCCGGGGCAATGTATCCGATGGATTGGCTCATATGTTGGCACAAAACTAAGCAAATTGCCGTCATTTTGTGCGTGTACCGTTGATTACCCCTCCGCTGCGTAATCTGTGGATATATGATAAACCCATATGGTCACAATGGGTAAATTGTTCGGCCAAGCCTGTTTCAGCAGACGCTTTCCTACAGACAACTCAATGCATCCGTGTTTCACTTTTCTCTTGTATTGCTTCAGAGTATACAGGATGGGGGGTTACTGGCACGACGCAAAAGATCAACGAACAAGGCAGTCCACCACAAGCAACTTCCATTGTTGAGGACCCCATGTTATATCCCAGTTCGATGGACATCGTCTCCATGCCTCCCGTTATTCGTTTCGTGTACCTTCTGGTCCGGTTTCTGCAGCAAAATCGGAAACTGCAGCCCACATTAGAATCTGAAACCCTTGATCCGGTCTCGAATAACACGGGACAATCAAGCCAGCAAGATGTCCCTACCGACACCATTCGTGTCACCAAAGATCCTATCGTGCTGCAGTGTGTCTTGGAATGTCTTGCCTATTTGTGTCACGTTGGAGACTGTTTACAACAGGTGCTGTCGCGGACGGAGACCAGTGACAAACCTGGACTTCAGGGTTCTACTCCCTCTACTCAATCTATAGCAGGTGGCAGGAATGGGGGGACAGCCAAGCTGCACCACATGAGCATAGTGGGAGGTTCAGGCAATGGGGCTACGCAAATTGCGGGATGTCCTGTGGCATGCACAGCCACCTCAGTGGCACAAGCCAACTTTATCCATTACCTGGTTCATTGCCACCTCATTCCAAAGTAAGTTTGGTTGTGGCTTAGTTTACCAACTAATTTGAGCTGTGAGCATCCGACACCCAGTAACAAAGCAATTGATTGTTCTATATTCTAGATCACCATTTCCACCAAAACACACACAACTTGTTACCTCAAGTGACCTGGTCACTAGACGTCAAGCTCCTTCTACTGTTCAGGAAATTATCCTTTGAATATCTTTCGTATCTGAAAACCGTGCATATGAGGTTTATCGCACGAAAAACATATCACTGCTGCTATCGGTACCGTCAACCTGTTACTTGTTGTGACACAGAGACGAACAGCCTGAATCTCATACAAAATAAAGGAACACTGATGAGGTCACTTCTGAATGTTTTAGTTTTGGTGTGGATCTAATGAAGTCAGATTTGTGGCTATAGTGCGTTTTGTGTGGCGTAACTTCTGGCTTTCGTGACTCAAGTTTGATTCAACTAGTCCGCAAACAGTAACGAAATTCCACGGTGAAAATCTATCATGATGAGTGATAAAAATAACGCTTTTGCGTTATGTTGCTCACTCAGAAAGATAGCCCTGGGAGCCCAGCTGACAAGCTGAGGTCACCGCCTGGTGTACGTCTGAATTGGGGAAGGTGATGTGGAAAGACGAAATCGGAGCCGTAAAAAGTTATGCTCAATTGTCAACACAAGTGGCTGCGCGTTTGCTCTCTTTCATTCAATATTAGAAGATAAAATATTGATTGCTGATGAAAATTGATCTTACGACCATATGCAACCGACTCAGATTGTACCATAAGTTTATCCTGCCTGTCTTGTATATGATATAACTCTGAGCTTGGCGCTGATTTCTTGTTCGGTGTAGTTTCCTGCTTTGAAACGTCAAAAAAGTAGGCTGTTCATAAGTTTCAGTAATCCAGCACTCTCCATACACTGCGACAAGTAAACCATGACAATTCTCAGCCCCTGGCATGTGTGTATTTAGATTGACACTACAGTACCCAGATCCCATGTGTTTTTGATAGCTTCCAGTCTTTGTAATATTGCCCAATTATTACTTCATAGCCTCTGGGGACTTTTGAAATCGGACCTTTCTCACTTGGCCAGTTGGACTGTGCCGCTACTACTCCACTGTATACTACTACCTGGTGGAGCCAAAGTGTTTTGGCGTATAGTGGAATCAGCGTTCGGCCACGATGACTGGCGTGTTCGGTTTGACGCAATCGAACGAGTTACTGTACTAATGCGTGAGTTGGATCATCAAGTAATGTCTCGCGGATTTAGCAGTGCCGCTGGCATTAAAATAACCGGTGTCCTTTCCGGCGGAAGTATGGCTAGCGCAAGTGGAATGACTCTGTTCGGACGCTCAGCTACCTCTGGACCCACATCACGACCTCGTGCAACCGGAGGTCGTATGCTGACAGGGAAAGGTGGATTCAACCGGGGGCATGGAAACGTGTCATCCACTGGGGATGGGAAAGTCGGGGCATCAGCCTTGGCTGCGGCGGCGGCGATTAGCAATGAGAATCCTTTGCTGCGCTCCGCACTGGCTCACGCGTTTTGTTGTCTTGTTGGATCACTGAATGATTCAAATTCGATGATTGCCCAGTACACTGCTTCGCAGTTGGCGTCCTTGAATAATACTGCTCTTTTGGTAAGATATTGTGTTTCGGTACTAATGACATTATTGTCGTACCTTACGGGTTACTTCCCCAGGTTTTTGTTCATTTTCATTGGATCTTATGCTAATCAAGTCTAGGTCGCCGCAAAGACCTCTCATTCCCATGAATAGGTTTTCACTGTTTGGATAAGGCCCTTCTGCCGGGGCATGTGAAGACTAATCACAGTAACCCTAGAGGAGGAGAGTTCAAAAGAAGTGAACATTTATGTTCGTGAGTAGATTCACACAATGTATATGACCAGTTTCCTATCCAAATCTTTCCACGCAGCCCGTCCCAGTGGTATGAATGCGCTCACTTACCGGCCGGACTGTATGGCTAAATTTCGCTTGTCGTTGCGCACTGGGCTAATGTTAGACCAGGTACTCAAAGCACGTTGGATCGGTTGCGTCGATTTAGCCTTACTTAGGCATGATATTCAACTGTGTTCACTTCATTTCCGTTCGAAGTTGCAGACATCTCATACTATCTTTCTGAAAGCGAGACATTTTTGCCTTCCCTTCTCTTTCAATTCTTTATTGCAACTTTCTTTCCCTATGGTTGTGTGGCAGTTAAGCTTCACTATGCAGTGCCAGTAATGATGGGGATGACGATAATAATGGTGTGATTATTCCGCGAAACAATGAAATACCCATCAAACATTGTGATTTCCGTGAATCTGCACTCCTTCCTTTAGGGCCCTTATATGTTTTCTGGATATCCAGCTTAGGGTCAGGTTATCTGATTTGATCTTAAGGATCATTTGCGCTAGATGTGGTTCTTCCCTTATGCTCTCAAGGTGCAATCTTTCCCACAATTGGTCTTGCAATTCGTGAATGCGGTGAGCCAACATTAGAGGGCACCAGGAATAGGCTACCTATTCGTTGGTCACTATCCAATGAATAACCCAAACGATATAAAATAAAGTGTCACCGGTTTAAGACTTCATGGACTCAAAGTACCAGCGTATAGCGATGCTGGAACAATGGAATGCTCCATTGATTCGGCCGTTTGTCGGAATGCTGTTTGAAATGAACTCCTAAAATACAGTAGTCTGGAGAAGTGTCCAAACCCGTTATTCCTTTAATTTAATTAGTTTTGATAAATGTAAGGCAAACATGAGGACAGGCCGGTTGTTCTAACCGTCTTACGCTGGAAATCCGACAGCTGTACAGTTTTACGGAAGAGAAATTACCACTAGAGAAATGCACTCATTTGCATAACAATTCGGTTTTGATTGGAGACTCACCTGAAACCCAGCTGAATCTCTCCTTTATGATGTTTACTACGGAATAAGAATATATAACATGCTTTCCAACTTCTGAATGTGTCAGGAACCATTAGTTATTTTTTATTGACTTACGTTGCCATGCTACTGATTCTATATATCGACCCCATTATATTTGACATTTTAGTGCGGAATTCAGTGTTTGGAATTTCAGTTCGATACGGTGATTGCTGATCGGTGCTTGATCTTGCAACGCATGCATCAGTTGAGTAGCACACTCCGAAACCGCCAAGTTTTCACCTGGGAATTTTTCGTCAACCGTTTCGGTCTTCTGGCTTTACAGGCCCAAATGGCTGCCACAGGACAGCAGGATATCGACGCAGGTATCGCATCTTCATTGCGTAACCGTTCATGATTCGTCTATTCTAGTGAAAACTGACATTCCCCATGCAGTTGGTGGTATAGCGATGAATTTCCCACATTCCTGCCAAGGAATGGGGTAATGTAGGTTGCTTGGTCGTAAATCGGTTAGTTTTTGAGGATATCTCATTGCCTATCAAAATGCTCATAATAATGTGGTAGCACAAAGCAGAAACTGTCATGCAACACAGCCGTCCGTTTTTGCTTGTCCATGGTAGTTTGACAAGTAAGAAGCAAGTAAGACCTTGGTTGCCACAGATGAATTGCTATCAGACAGTAGAAAATCATATTTTTTGACATAATGCATGTGTGCTGGTTTGTTTTATGATTGCAGTGCTTTTGACCATGCCGCCGGGTTTTCCTCGACTGCAACGAGGGAAAAAACACTCCGAAAATCAAGTTGGAAATCTTCCAGGCGGTAGGATGTAGCCTAAAGTAAGGCATTATTCCGAGAATGGGTGGGCACACCCACTGGAGGCAAACCCTAATCAAAGAAGTTTATGAGTGAATCATGTCGGATAAATCGACGCAAAGATGTATGAATGTGCCAGGGATGCGAACAACGGTGGGAATGCTTTCCCTTCCGAACGAAACCGCTATCTAGATTGGGCAAATGGCTAGACGAATGCTCATTCAGCGTGCATGGAAAGCACAGTGGAAAACTATCCAAAAGCAAGATCCCTGTCGCCTTTCTCACCAGCTAAAATGTCCCTCCTCTTGTGGCAAAAGCCATAGATGTTCAAGTATATTCGGGAATCACAGCACATCTGCCCACAGACCTGTTTATGGAACTTCTAACGTTATCAGTAGTTGTTTGTCTTTATGGTGTCCTTTAGTGATCTAACAAGCTTGTGACTCATTTTTGAAACCCATTTCTTTTCAGTTCATTCTTACTTAAAACATCATGAACGAGAGATTCAACTGAGTTCTAGGTGAGCCTTTTGAAAAACCCGATTTGTACACAAATGGGCGTATCTCTCCAACTCATTCTTATTGTTTTCATTACCGTCTCTCAACAGTCACCGACCTGAATGGCTACCACAGAAATAGCCAGCACTTCCAAAGTCAGTTTGAACGAGCTTGCTTTGCTATTTCTAAGTGCACCGGTCTTCGATCAATCAGTGAGCTATCTCGGGCCAAAGCTTTGAGATCGACAGCTTGTTCCGTTGCAGCTGTAGCGCAATCACAACTGCCAGCTTCCGCAGCTCAAAGATCCTCATATATTGACCCGGGTGGAGGATCTCAGCGAGGGGCTAACTCTGAGAGAAACGCAACAGAAAATATCTCACCGACTGGCGGTAAGTTAACTCGGGATGCTCCGAATGATCTGGCTTTCATGACCTCATCAACGGACCTAGGAAATTCACTCGATCAACTTATTATCGTTTGTCCCTTGATATGCTGTCGGATCAACCATTTGGGTTTGCCTCGGATACGGGAGCATAATTCGACAGGGTGCCCATTAAAAACGCCAACTTTTTCAGGAGCTCTTCTGTTTTTGGCTACTTCCATGTGGCATGCATTCTTACCTTTCAGATGGGCAAGAAACAGCTTCTAGACCACAAACACCACATTTCCAGTCGTCCCGTCGGGAGAGGCCCTCGATGGCATCCTTCACTGGATTTTTCTCTTGTAAGTAGCTAGTGAATAAATTCAGCAATGTATCTAAATCCTGACACGACAAATTACTTGCAAATTTTCTGGGAAACTAAACCAGCTTAGTGCACAGGAAAGACACCGAATAGACGTCACAGTCAATAGCGCTGAATGAATAGTTTGTGTCATGCTTTCCATGCACTAAGCTTTCTACGCAAATACCGTGAGCCGGTATTCGTACTTGCCCGTCACATCAATCCTGTTGCAGCTGTGGGTGATAGATTTACATCGAAAGGCGTTGGCGCTGACACACATTGGGATGTCAGCTACCTAAAGCTGAAGAAATGGGACCAGCGATGTGCAAAATTTGACAGTTTTAGAACCGATAGCATGATCCGTCACTGGCTGGTTAGATGGGGTAGTTGAATCTGGTATTGTAGACGTAGGGCGAATCGCTTCTCACTGTTGCCTCTGGGCAGCATCATTGGTGCATCCATGTGAATCAGAATTCGGTTCGACTGGTGCGACGATCATCACTTTATATCGTCGCTTGCGTCTCTTTAAAAGACAACAGAATCATATTAAATAGCTATTTGGTGTTAAATTCATCGTTTACGCAATTACTGGAAAAATTGCCCTAAAAATACTCGGTACCAAACCCAGATTCCGTAGGCTATTGGTCGTTGACCTTTTTCGGAACAAGTTCCTACCAATCACTGGGGTTTATTTGCCGATTAACAGTAACTTGTCTATTGTTGACCTTCGAATCTCGCTCAATTAAATTACTACTTGACCTACTTAACAGCTGGTCCAGCTGGTATGGAGTTCATGGATAGCAGTAACAAATTCTTTTGCAACATACGGAATGCATTGGACCAGGACAGCGAGGAGCGTGATACTTTGCATCTTTGGGTCCGTTTGCTTCTTCGGTTCATGTCTACCATAGAATTGGATGCTCGACCTGATGACACATCCAGCGGTAGTGGTAGTTTAACCGGTAGTGGCAGACACTCCGTGGCCACCGCGAAAGATGAGCTTCGAGACAGGAAGGCGCTGAGCAAGGCACAAAGACATTTGGCATTTCTGCTGGGCTATGCAGACGGGGCTTTCAACATACCACCGCACACGCTGAGGTGAGCGAATGGAAACCACTTTCCACCTAGTTTATTATTAATTTTGCTGGCATTTTTCATGATGCAAAACAAACGTACGGTTTCTCCGAACAGTCGAACAAATTTTAGGACTGACCAAAGAGCTACTGGTTCAGAAATCTTGGAAGACGATTGGCTGCTATCTTAAACTTTCTGAAACAATCGTCCCAAGAGAACTTGTCATCACACTCGTTGGCATACAGACTTGGTTTTGACGGGAGAATCAACCGGAACACAGCTGAATTTCTCATTTATGACGCCTTTAAGCAATTGAATGTGCGGCACCAGGCCGCCTCATGTTTCTCTTGGCACGATAGTCGAGATGTCGCGATGGGTTGTATAGACGCAAAGTTGCTGAATACTCCAACAGCCCATGACCAGCTTCGCCCTTCTTAGAGATAATCAGGTAGACACAGTCACCGAGTTTCCGACAATTTTATGTTCTACTTGAACCCAAATTGTATGGGCGTTCTAAATTTGCATTCTGGATTTTGTCTTGTCTTATACTGGAAAGCCAAGCAGTGCCACCTTCAAATGGTGTTTTCCTGAGCACAATCCGAGTTTGGTATGAAGTTGGCTGCTACTGAATAGTTGGTAACCGTTCTTAAATGTCTACAATTATCGCGATTACTTATCGGGTCTGAGAGTTTTACCAGTCGTAGGTACAAAGCAGAAAGTCACCGGTCCTGGGCGAGCAATTCACCGCATGTTTCGTCCTGATCGTGGGACATATCCTGAGTTTATCGTTCGATGTTCGGTTTCATAGTTCACTTTCAGGCACATGATACTTTTGCTTGGGTTGACACATGGAAGTGGATCTTGGTAGTCTGACTACACACTAACGGTCAGATTTCTAAGACGTTTCGACGCATGTACAAGGCCGACCAACAACCGTTCGGGGACAATGGAGACCAATTACCGCCTAATTTTTGGGCCCTAGGTTCATTTATCCTGTGAAGAAACTGACAACACGAGTGCTTTGTGCACAAATATAATAATTGTGAACCTAGAACATCTATCCCTTGGGACACTTCGGAGCGGAAATGGAAGAAGATGGGTTAGTTCTGAAGTGTCTTTACACTGATTGGTTTAAACCTGAATATATTCATTTTGACTATACGTTGATAAGCTTTTCGGTTGCCAGTTCATGGAGAGGGTGAGATTGGTGATCAATGCATGGACAAGTTGGCATTCCCTCAACTGCAGTCAAGTTTTTCCAAACAACCCACGGAGTTTTCCTCCAGGATAAATGGTTTCCATACTCGACTGTTGGGCGGAACTGTCTACTCAACATCCGATATCGTTACATAGAAATTCTCATCAGGTCCAATGTAGAAATTGTTGCTTACTTCAGCGAGGTAAACTGGGAGTGCTAGCGCTTTCAATTACACGAGCTGTCGCGAAATGAATTTAAAAATTTGTTCAGGTGACAACCTTTTTTCTGCTAGCGATGCAGACGTGAGAACAAGATTGCTGGCGAAATTGGATTCAACTGCATATGTGTCCACCCAGAACCTCACCACGGTACTTGAGGTTTGCGATTTTGATGCGTAACTCATGTAACTCAATTAGAGGTACAGACAATAACACACTTCACAATTCATTTCATTAAAATCGCAAAATACCCCACAAGAAGCTTGTTCTCCGTCTGAATGCTGGAACTGTAACCAGTTCTACTCTGTGCCCTTCGGTCCTTTCTGTTTCCATCAATGTCTAGTGTGTAGCCAAACCGACCACAAGGAAAGCAGTTTCTGGTGGTCCCATATGGCGACACCCCAGCTCTCGGTCGAATTAGAAAACAGTCATGCGTTCTGTTTGCTACATCAAAGTTAAACAATGTAGCCATCTTTGTTAAAAATCCACCAGTGACCCTTCAGGGTGAAACCGCGTAGGACACTAGAGTCATTTAGAAGGGAAGCTGTGTGAGTCTGCATACAGCTTCTACATACAGCTCCTGTTGCTCGCAATGCCAGTCGGAACGAAGTCCCATTTTCAGTTGAGTTACGTCACCCTTGCCGTTCTCATCATCCGTTCTCGTCCGTACAACTACATGTGATTTGAAAGCCTTAACATTAGGGGAATTATGAAAGCAGTTGGTGAAGTGACCTAGTGCCATCCTACCACAGTCATTCTGAGGTCTCTGCGATTCTAGACCGTCATTAAGACAATCCAGATGGAATTCTCCATCTATACCAAAGAGCCGAGAAAAAACCTATTGCTGTTTAGTCCTTATCGAGGGTCATCAGCATTGCGCACCCCAAGAAACTCCAGAGTTTCAAAACCCCAGGTTCCAGGCTAGTAAGCTGAACACTCAACCGTTCGATCAGAAGCGGCTGATCAACAGTGTGTGACAAAGTCTCAGATTCCACCAAACTGTAAACAGTCTATAGGTAGGTCAGAGCAAGAAGAATTTACATGATGAGTGAAACTTTCATAAAAAGAGTCACTCTAGGAGCTGATCAACTCATGATTATGTGACATGTATTCCGTGACTAAAGGTTGAGTGGTGCTACATCACTGTTAACCACACTGTTAACCAACCTTTTGTGGCATATCGAAATGCCAAAATCATGGTCGGTGATTGTCATAGCTGTGGTGTGTAGAACTCTGTCCCATAATGGACAAAAGTTTAAAATAAATACCCTTGATTGACAAAAGCTGCCGAGGCTTCTGACGACCGACGGTTAAAATCAGCCTTCCGATCAAGAAAAGCAACCAAATTAGGATGCTTGAATGAGTGGTACTGTTCAAGAACCTGCCTCAGGGTAACTACACGATTGATCAGTACTCAGCCAGGACGAAACTGAGCTTGATTTCCAGGAACCTATCCCTTGTGGTAACTGATTAACCTGCGAAAAATAATGTCAGAGAGCAGACCGGATGCCAGGGCGACCAGAGTGATGTGACGATTGCTGCCGTAGAACGTATATTTGCCCTGTCAAGATTAGTTCATGGTTGTAGCGCTGTAGTTCACCGGCATTTTTTGCGGTTCGAACCCCCCGTAACAGAGCTATGAGATTGTGCGACGGGCTTTTAGCAGAATTGTAGCGCAGAGACCACTCGGGCCCAGTGATTCGTCACGCTGGAGGAGTGATAAATCAATTAAGATTTTTTGTTGTTGGTGCCGAGTTGGTATAGATGTTCAGTTCAGGCCTGTTGGATTCTTCCAGAGGTTATGTTGAACTGTTCATTAAGGTGTTCAGTCCATCACTCGAGACAATGATCCTGCAAATGAATTGGAGTTCTATCTTTTTCGCAAATTGTATCGCTATCAATACAATTGCAGTAGGTTACGGGCGCCACTCTGTTCGTCTAGGTGTTGTGGTTAACTGAAGGAAGCAGCAGTCAGTTGTTAACTTGCCACTTTACTGGAGCTTGTATTCTTCCACTTTTGGTTGCCCGACATTTAGACACATCAACCCGTTTTTCGTGTATATTTGTACGACACGTCTAATTCACTGATTGCCAGATTGTCGGTGACTATGTTTCATAGATTTTTCACCTGTTTTCAGAAACTCCACTGTGTTCCATTCATTTCTGGCACATGTCATGGGTGTTCTGGATCGAAATTATGGAATGGGTTCATGTATTCTGCACCAAACACTTGTTGTACTGCAATACTGTGCGTCGCCTCAACGTTACGCAACAGACACTCAGCCACCTACATTCTCCTTGCGTCTGCTCGAACCGCAAGTACGGTTGGATTGGTTACAAACCCTTCTTGTCATCTTGTACAAGGTAACGTGTTCGTCCGTGGTTACCTCGTGGTGTATCGTCGCCTCAGATTCTGCGTTTATCCTCAAGCAATGCTATCTTACTATTTTCAGTACGAGTATAGTGCACCTGGAGGCACGATCCCCAGTGGACAAACTGGCAGTGTCGGGGCACAAACAGGATACAACACAAATTTACTGAATCATCCAAATCTAGCTGCTGGCGGTGTCACAAACAACGGCACGGGAACGCTGGGTAAACTGAGGAAAAGTAGCTCAGAGATCACAATACGCGACCAAGAAGAGATACACAAAACGCTAATCGGAACTACTGGAGGCAGTACGGGTGCAAACATTGGACAGGGGCAGACAGGATCGGTGGCAGTCGCGGGATCATCCAATGTCTCAGCCAGTGTCCCACCAAACGCATTCGCATTGGGTCATACCTATCTCGCGGGACCTTCGAGTACACCTCCTGGTGGGACTCGTGGAATAGTGGAGTACTTAATACAAGTTGTTCTGAACACTTTGGATGCTCACGCGCACGTTTGTCGTGACCGCACAGAGGATGAACCGTTTGATCCACCTTCACCGCCAGTCAGACTACGGGGTAAGTTTCCCATAGTTCACACGGCGGGAGAAAGAAAATAAATCATATTTTGTGTCAGAATGTGTTTGATTAGTACAGAGGAGATATTACCGCCTACTCTTACCAACTTTTTCAGCCTGAACTTCCCGTATATAAAACAATAACGTTTTTTCTTTAAGAACGCTAGATGTCACTTCATTCGACCTGCGTTCTTTAGATGAAATTTATCAACCAAGTCCGATTCTCTCTTGACCTTTGCACGTAATGGCTGCAACTATTCATCGTTAACCACTGCACATCTGTCTCTGAAGCCTATGTGACCATGGCAATAAGTTTGTGGCTACGTGTGCTGCCCGAATCAATGAACAAGGCATGTGAGTCTCAGTTGGCTACCTCATTGGTATTTGGGAACATCTAGGCTGAACTTATTGTACTCTCTTTCGTCGGAAGATAAGCCGCATTTAAAGCGAACCTGTTGCACTTCCAAAGCGTGGCATAATATCTTAGATACTTGTATACCTACGTCTTCCTCCGAAATTTTGCATAGCTCATGTACAAAACCAGAACCACGGAACGAGGGAAGGTTTTTAGTAATGAAAAGAAATATTGTGCACTTNTTCCAAAGCGTGGCATAATATCTTAGATACTTGTATACCTACGTCTTCCTCCGAAATTTTGCATAGCTCATGTACAAAACCAGAACCACGGAAAGAGTGAAGGTTTTTAGTAATGAACAGAAATATTGTGCACTTTTCTAATAGGGAACATCCGTGGGACCTGGCCACAGTGGTGCTTTCTGGGGAGTAGAACCCCATCCTGCGTGACCGAAGAAACATGTGATTGTTTGTGACAACAGAAATATTCGTTTTTAAGATGTTTTCGATGTAATTTTTTCTACATATTTGGAGATATTCTCTTGATGTGTGATCACTAATAATTTCGTGCCACGCTGGCTGCCGCGCGGTATAATCGGCTGGGTCAACCTACTGGCTACCTACAAAGGACTAGTAAGCGAAAAGAGGATACCACTTACATTCATTTTCTGTTGTTGTCTCATTTAACAACCACTCCTCGGTAGATCTCCGCCGTCAGTCTTGCACCCGAACTAGTGACTAATAACGCGCCACTGCTCACTTTTGCAGCTGACATCCGCTTTTCAGACCCATTTCCCCTGTCTATACCGCGACTTTTAACATGCAGACAGCGTGCTACCGTAGCTCTCACTTCCGACAGTTTTTCAACAGACATCTGTTGCGTTCCCGAAACTCCAATACAGGACCCAAGTAGTCGAGCTTACGGCAGACTCGGACTCAATTACCAATCTTTTTTTGATTGTCCACTGACCCTCAATAGTACTGGGTTCAGATGTGGTAGACGCCATCACACTGCATGGCGTTCTCCTATTGATAAAAAAGACATTGAGCCAGATGAACTACATAGCCATCGACAACCGGTGGCTAAACTCCATTCGTTGCGGTCCATTCTTCTGGAACATTCATGTTGCTTAATCTTGCTGCAACTCCTCGTCCAGTCATTGGAAAACCCTCTGACCCGCAAATTAATTAATCTTATTAAGCTGGTCTCTGCAAACATTTAGAAACTGCAACATAGAAGCGCTCATTTCTGGCTTGGGTGAAACGAACACAGTTATCCACACAGCCGGAAACTTATTATATGTGTTGTGGATTTCGAGAAAGCTTAGTGCTGCTTCTCAGTGTGAGACGCCGTATCCTTTCAAACATTGATCATAGTTCATTTAGGAGGTCTGTTAGACGCCAGTTTGGAAGCCGCTTCATCTGCACATAAAAGTGTGCCGGCAAAAGCAGACTAAAAGTAACATTGTCCACTTAATATACGACAAGAACGAGTATGTTGACGTTTGACCGTCTGTGCCTGTGCCTATACCTTTCTCTCATCCTGTGTTACAATTCGCGATCTACCCTGTTGCGTGACAATCTTGTGACAGAAATTTCGGGTGCAAGGTCTATTACGCATTATGAATGCTGGCTGGAGGTAACCGGTGAAGCCAAACCTAACATTTTACTATTGTGTGTCATTACAGCCCACCAGTTTCCTTGTCAAACACTGCATGCATTTTTCGCTTCCGCTAGAGAGTAGTGGATCGAAATTATCCATCAGTCCAGTGGTAAAGTTCGCGGGACCGGAATAAATTGGTTCACCAATGGAGGAAGCCTTCAGTCCTGTGTGTGTGTGGGGGGGGGGGGGGGGGGCGAGGTTAAGCAGAATTCTTGCTCACTGTGATTCATGTACTTTAGATATAAGCTACTTTTGTTGACGACTCCTCTTTCTGATAACCACACATCACCTCGTACCAGCCGGATTGATAAAAAACCGTTCACAACGTACACTCACCAGTTCCACTCCTATTTTTTTATTGCACAGATTTTCTGCGATTTCCACTGCCTTGACCACCAGTCTCTGTGGTGTGGACCGTAGTCCCCACCTCTAAACTTCAACATCTAAGTTTATTTTGTGTTAGACGTTCATTTCGCGGGACCGGAATAAATTGGTTCACCAATGGAGGAAGCCTTCAGTCCTGTGTGTGTGGGGGGGTGGGGGGGGAGGACAGCATGAGGGGTGAACCCTTGTCTCTAAATTCCTCTTGGAATATTAGTCCGGCTCGGCTCCAGCGAGACCGTTCTATATATTCGCCTCATCGCTTCTACTCCATTAATCCATGTGCCTATTTCCCCTACGGTCCGATGAAACCATCAAAAATGGACCATTGATAACGATACATTTCAGGGGATTATTTGACTGGCCTGAAAATGCCACCCATTATGCGCAGCATACGGACAGTGTACAGCAACATAAATCATTGGGCCAACAGGCCAGCCGACGGTTTTGGATACCAGCCGTTTTTTGATAGTTGATCTGGTGTATTTGAGACCCTGTGCACCGCATATATGGATATCTTTAGCTGAAAAATTAGGACCTTACACCATATAGTACTTGGTTCTTTTCAAAACTTTGAACGGGTGATAGTGGAATATCTTCCAATTTAGTATCAACATCGATAGCAACACCGCTATATGATTTAGTATTCTCCTCGACTAGACCCCAATTTATAGCGAGAGCACAAAATCCGAGCGTAATCGCTAGTGCTTGAGTACGTTGCATAAACGTTAGTAAAGGAAGCAGAGTACGGACCTGAGAATAGGGCTAATAGTGCAACACTCCTCATCGCATATCTCTTGTGTTAGAAGAGTTTCGGACCTTATATGACCGTTTACTGAATTCGGAATAGAATACATGCGCGTAGTCCCCTGCCACTCATACAGACCGGAACTCAACCTACCACTGACTGCTATCTGGTGTAATGTAATTGGAATCGCCTGCATGCCATTGTGAGGGCACTGCTTTATCTTTCCACTTAGAGCCCTTTCACACCCCTTTGTGGGTCTCCTCGCATAGCAATAAATTACCAATCAGGGACGAGCAGGTTGACTATCCTCGACCAATCGGTTGCATATGTCCGTATACGCTGTTTTGGATAGGAATAGGAGAACCAATACAAAGAGATCAATGGTGACCAACCGGTAAATTAACGAAGTGTGTGTGTGTGTGTGTGTGCACCAGCAATATACTGTGACCTCACAACGCCTCACCCTACGTCCGATGAGGTCTCTTTCACAGTATGAATTACAAAGCTCCGAGCAGGCATGTAGGGTGTGGGGGACCGCTAACCCAGCCTGCCTGTCGCTCTATCATCAACACACATTCTATGAGTTACAGTAATTACAGCTGATTTAAATGATGAATGAGCCAAGACTTGTTATATATCGTGTTTCCCCGTGTTTCCGTGCGGTCGCTACAAACGGTTGCCCATTTTCCCATTATATCTTTCTGTAAGGAACGGATACATCAGGAAATGATATAGGTATGTACACCGGCTTTTTTCTATATCTCAGACCAATTGGTGCTTAACTAACCTCGCTCTGACAAAGGCTATGGTGTCTGTTTCAATCTACTTTCAGCGTTATCGGGTCAACAAAACGGTACGGACTTGCGCCCTAGGCACTCCAATTTTTTCTAAACCGTGGATGGACTTTGCTTTATTGGTCCATAGAAGCTTGCGCTCATCGTATTTAACCTTGTTCATAACCCACTCCATGACTACTTGTTGAGTTCAGGTACCCTAATGTTGAATAAACTGGTGTTGAGTAATGCACCCCCAAGCTAACCTGCATGCTGTCGTATACCCTTTGTATATAATCTCTGAGCATGTCCGTAGTGAAGCATGATAATTGTTTTTCACGTTAGGTCAGTTCTATCTACAGGTAGCTTGGAGATGACAGGTCGAGAGATTTCCAGCCATAGAAAACTGGTGTTCTCTCCGCTTCCGTAGACACACAAAATGCTCAGTAATCCCTTCGGAAATAGAATTGCGCGTCTAAGGGAATTTTTAACTTTCTTTGAGAGTAGAGTCTTTGGGGAGGTTTAACAATTTTTGGGCTGGAGAGAAACTCCATGATGGCCACTTTAATCGAGAGGTCTTTTTTCGGAGGTGTTGTCTTGATAGAAATTACTATCAACGCTTTCTAACCCTAATCGTGCAGAACAGATACTTGATCATGTTGGTGATGATAACTGTGTTGGACCCGTATTTTGTTCGGCCTGCTCACTTTGTTTGAAATTGGAATTGGTTTCATTTTCATATTGATATTGACACCGTTTTTGTTTGTTTCTTTTAACTGTGCACGCTCAGTGGTGTTTTGTTGCTGACATATCTGTTACCCTAAACACTGGACGGCTATAATCAGTCGCCTTTTTCACGATGCCGCACTTTCTTTTACAAAGGGATATCAGGTCAGTCGTGAGTTTTGGGTGTAATATCGACTTATCATGTGCGGGTTTGAATAGCCGCATGGATTGTTCGGTTTGTAACCTAGGCTAGAATGAAACATAGACGAAACACAAACGCTTATTGCGAATATTCAGGTGGATATGAGGCGTCTGCGAAGATGTACTGCGCTATGGTTGGACTATTTAAACTAATCAACTCGGCTGTTTGCGCTCTTGCTAACTTTAGGGCCTCAAAATGATTCAGTTATACTAATCAACGGTAAACTATAAATATTTGTTGATAAAAAAACAGTTTTGATGCCATTGGGAGGCAAACGCTACCTTATACCTGGATAAAGATGGACAGCAGTTGATTTCAAAGTGGGTAGGCTTAACGGTAGCTAATTCGGTGGCCGAAATCTCATAACCGTAGATAAACGTGCTTTCAATCCGTTCTCAGCCTCTCAGCAATTGCCAGCCAAACGATTGCGTTTAAGCATGCGGTATGTCTTTTGGGTTACTGCACAGGTCTTTCTGTTTTACCAGGGTGATAATCTACCTTTGCTTTGGTTTTGACAGGCATCTATCTGCAAAGTGTCTTTGTTGAAGAAGCCTCCCCGTGATCCTCGCAACATTACACATTTTCACACAATATTATACCATGTGTATCCTGCCTTTCATCCGTATCTCTTACTAACCTGTAGCAACTTACATTTTAGTTTACTATACACTGGAAAACGATCGCATTCACCCCTGCTCTTCGTGGTTTTATTTTCGTTTGGTTACTGTAGCACTGCATTGACATTCCTTATCTACTTTAATCAATTACACAGAACTAGATATTATCTGGTTTCGTCTTACAATTCGTAGTTATCTGATGTTCAGAGTTCCAAACGTCCGGGCTTTTTTCATTTAGAAAGATAATGGGCACTACCCCGCACATGTAGACGTGCAGTTTGATAGAAAGTCGGTTTCCACTCCCAGCTGTACACACGACGGAATGCATGCGGTAGTTGTACCCCAATCCTAGCGTTATCTCCAATTTGAGATCTCAACTAGAGTAATAGAGTAGAATTTCTCCATAGTAACGGTTTGTGTGAGTCTATAATAATATGTCTACGTATATAATGACGTATCACTTTGTCTGACTCCTGTGCTTCCTTGGGTTGACTAAAAAATCATTGTCGAGTCACCGGATGCGTGGAACCCCTCAATCGTGACACGAACCATCTTCCGATGCATCCTTGATAAATTTGGTACATACAGTGATTTCAGCCAAGAATTCTTGGCAGACCAGAGTGCTCTTTGCCGGATTTTTGGTATAGGTATTATCATTATTTTGTGTCCAGAAAGCACTTTTGTGCCGTAAAACTTAAAATAATTCAGCTGTTTTGCGGGTAGAAGGCTGCCCACACTTCCGATCTAACGGTAATCCTACGATATCATTTGGTTAAGCGTGACCTCATTAAAAAAACAGGGCAGTGAAGTGCGGGTTTGTATTCCAAGGAAAGCCGGATGAACTTTCTAATTCACAATATCTTCGAATGTATGCCAGTCATCCATAATAATGCGTAGTTAACCCCAAATTCCATGTTGGCCCTGCAGTAGCCCACAGGTACGCCACCATCGACCAGTAGCTCTTTTCATAACCACGCTTCCGTCCATCTGTGCTTTGAAATCCGAGTTCCATTTACAATGTTTTTCAACCCGGTGAAGGCTCTGGATACCTATTTCTACTCTCCACTTCCCTGGGAACATTTTCGGCTGTCGATAGGAGTCACACAGTAGTGACTCTTCGGAGTTTCGTGAGATGCGCACTGCTGATGATTCCCAATAAGGATGAAACAGCTGTACAGTGCTTCTCGGATTTTCATCATAGGTTAGCTTTACTTACAGGACGAAATCTCCACAAAAAACACAATAGTGATTTGGCGATATTTAATAACTGACTGCAGATGGCGCTTAGTAGCAATGCGTGTGAACTCTGTGGCTATTCGAAGTGTCTTAGATGGCACCTGTAGACGATGTAGCACTGCACGTCCAAAACAAATTAGTTCACAAACTAGGCCAGCAGCTTGGCTTCTCTATACTGATGAATAACCGATTACACTTGAGCACTTTGTCTGTCGGGAATCGACCAGGCGAAATGGACGGGCGCTATCGATTATGCGTTATTGACGTACTGTGCATTGCCAAAACCTTTTGGGATTGTGATAATTACCATATTTAGCTCGATGATTTTCCCCATTCAAAGCTAGCTTGTGCATTTTCAACAGGTCAACTACTTAGAGAAACTCACTCTTATTTGCAACCCAGTTTAGTTTTGCAGAAGACTCATCTGAAACCCAGCGGAATCTCTCGTTCATAATGTTTCAAGTCGAATACTTAGTCGAGTGAAGGATGTTTAACGCCTATTTTGCATTTGTATGGTGAATGGCTTCATCCATTTATCTCATTTTTTCCAGAAATCAGCAATGTTAGTGCAGACTTCACAACCATTTTTGAGACGGACACGCCCCCTGCTAGCCCGCCCGTTGAAGGCGAGGCTTCGGACGATGATGCAGTGGTGATGCCTGGGGTGACCATAACTTTGTGTAACCTGGATGGCGACGAAAACGCAAACAAATCAAACACTGACTCCGAAAACCATGCGTTGGACCAGCAACCGGACAAACAGGAGGATACTCTGATCCAGGCAACATATGAAATCAAACCAAAGGTGGGATAAGCAACTTGAGCATTTCTTTCTATGTTCTCACTGGTAATTTTACTTAATGTATGAGGAACAGAACGATGTAAAATTACCCCATCGTTTGCCTTAATCCCAAAACCTAGGGTCGTTCGAAACCCCAATACAACTACAAGACGGATAAAATGGAACAGGGGATTGCGGCACGAACAGAATCAAGTGACACTGCCGGTGATGGCAAGGTGGGAAAGGATTATGTGTTGCAACAACAACAACAACCAACAACAAAAGGATTGCCTGAGCGGGCATCCCCAACGCTGCCGAAATCTCAACAGGATCAAATGGATTTCAGTCTGTCTGTGGCCCCATCCACTGTGTCACTGGATGAACAGGCTATCAATGCTGTAGGTTTTCAGCATTCCCACATTATCTAATTCATTCACATAAAACTCCTTGTCTGATAGTGATTTGTTGCACTCTGTGCTCTCTCATGCTAGATGTTACTGTTCTGCTATATCAGATGTAATTATCATCATCATTATCATCATCGTCATCATGGTCATCATCACCATCTCATCGACAGCATGGCATTAGTGTTCTGCTTCGCTGCCGTACAACAATGATTTATTTGAAAGCCTTTTTGTAAAGAAAAGAATAAAGGTGGACGGGGAAGGGACTTAGTGCTAGCTTACTACAATCATTCCGAGGTGCCTACACCTCCAAACACTCATTCAGGCAATCTGGATAGAAACTGGCAACAAGGTCGCCACTGACATCGGTTGACAGCCATATCTCGCAACGTCTCCAATCAGGCGCAGTGAGGATCATGTGGTCCCCATCCTGGAAGGCGAGCAGCACCCAAGGGACCCAAACTTTTCGTGGTTTTCTTGATACCCTCTGTTAGGTCAAGGTAGCATAACCGTGATTTAATTCTAGAACAGATTTCTCGTTTGCTGCGTTTGCTGCATCTGTCCGACTCTATGGCACGCGGCGATCGATTAACAGGTGGACGAAAATTTGATTCTTACCTATCCTACTACTACTTTTCAAAAGTAGATGTATATTGTAGCCTAAGTTTGTCCGCAAATCTTGGCTTGCAGCAGAAGAGTAAAGGTCAGTTTGAGTTGAACTAGTCCATTCTTTACCTTTGGATTGACCAGCAATTTTCCCCTCGAGTTTCGATTTCTCAAGTGGGCTTTGTCCAACTCCCTTTCAAAATCTACTTAGCTTTGTGTGTCAGGACTAGCAACTTGCCCCTTCACAACACGGCGGCGAAGCGTACACAGAACCAATCAAAACTAATAAAGGAAGTTCAATCACCTAGTACTACTGCAGTGTAGTTGTACCTGGGAGGAGTGCTGTAAATACTACCATTTATCCGTAACATACGCTGCTAACTCAACACCTCCCATCTTTGGTAAATCGTGGCGACTAGTTTCTGATTCGGTGTTTCTACTCTTTAGGCTTTATTTTGCGGATTCTTTGTGGCAACCTTAACTGCGTTTTCCAACTCGGAACAAGTTCTGATTTAAAAAAAATCGTTCAGCTGCAAACCCTTTTGGTGCCTAACTGCCATGCCACCAGAAGGTAGCACGAGGACTGGTGTATTGCCAGGTTGCCCAAGCCTAGACAGGGGAAGTCGAGAAGCAGAGGTTGGGTTCGAACCACGGACCTTCCGGCAAATGCCTCGTTTTTTCCAATAGATGTAAGCTGACTGTGAGTTGGCTGTATTTGCGGGAAGGTTTCCTTTACTGTAATCCGCTTCCATCACCACACTGATTTGAACTGTTCATTGTGTGGGCTCTGAGCATGGACTTTGTGAATCATGCTGTATTTTGTTTGGCGGCTGCTTTTTCACCCTTGTAAGGGGTGTGTGACCCACAGACTCACAAAGTTGGTTTTCCGTTGTTTAGTTACCCTGGAAGTGAATTAGACATCACTCCTGATCGTACATGACTCGTGGTGTTCATTAGAGTTCTCACATGAATGCGTGTGTTTATTTGTTTGTTTTTCCTCACGGTGTACAATTTCCCCCATATGCTGGCTCCGATCTGATTCCTTTAGTTTATCGATCGCTTCTTTGAATGCACTACAATCTTGATCAGAACATCCAAGTGGCGCTTTCATCTCATTTCACCCATTCAACTTTGGCTGTAGCTGTATCAAAGACAATCTGTGAGGATGTGAACATAGCTAGTAGTAGTTAGTCCAACGCACAGATCATTTGGACCTAGTTGATCGCAGGTTGGTTTTGGCGAGAGCTGCTGTCATAAACACTGTTTTGTTTCGAGTCTTTCATCGTCATATGTACTGGTCCTGGATTCAGTAACCCCAAAGATCGCTTTCCTTTCGTACCGTACTGCCACATATCACCTCATCTTATTCGACTCTCTGACCGTGCTCTCCCATCATTGAACACAACTTTTTCCTCATTTTCCCAAGTTAACTCAAATGCCCGTTTCAGGGGTAAGCCTTGGTGGATCACCAAAACAGTAGAGTTTATTGCTGTCTGTTAACTGCATGCCCACCCCCACGAGGTGGCCATTAGTGGCCACTCTCATTCTCATCCATTTCAGTTTCATAGCAGGCACGTTACATTTTTACATCCAGTTTATTTTCCCCTGTCCAGACAAATCGACTTGAGTGACTGTCATTTTTTGCATACGGTTCTCTTGAGTTTTGCACATGTCTCGTCTCAATCCGTCTGAAAGTGAAATGTCCTTGTTGAGATAGTATTGGGCAAGTACAATCCTTTGGTCATCGAGCATCGTTTTAGACCAATGACCTCAGGAAGATTTTGTTCTTTATTTTGCACTGTCTCAATCCAATTGACTGTCAGTTTGAACATCTTGTGGAATGTTATGGAGTGGACTTAAATGATAGTCGGCACCACAACTCCTACCCGATTCCTTGTTGGTAGTCGATTTCCACAGATATCTGTTTCGATCATGCCCATCTCGTACACAAGTAAATTTGGCTGTCGCGTGGTTTTGAGTCTGACCCGGGTGGAGTGAGCATAGACTGGTTGTTCCTGATGCGTCCAGTTACTTTGCTGTGATTATAAGCTGCCAGTTTGACATCAGAACACGGGGATGTTCTTTTGGGGACCGTCCGCTCCTGCCTTGTCACCAACCTAAACTGAGATGAGTGTCTACAGCCCTCTTGGCCTACCTTATAATATCTCTTGTGTTATTTCGTCTCTGTTTTTATACTTATCAGCCCAATCCCGCTGACAGGAGGTCGGAGTTACAATTTCAATGTTTGTTCAGTTAACGAATGTTTATTCAGGAACCCCATGAGTATTGAGCAAAACATCACCATAGTCAGATGTTCAAGATATCAATGTGTAACATATCCGTTCTCTCACGATACGTTGAAATTCCAGCAGAACAAATAAGTACATGCAATGGCTTGGGAAAACGGAAATTGGGGCAAAACGACATGGAAAAGATATGGGAGTTCTGCTTCTGGAAAAGTGCTCGAACTCGAGCAGTTAGCTTGATCCACTGTAATTCTAATCATTCACTACAAAGCAACGCTATCTAGTTACTGGTTCACCGCCAAGCCTACGTTATGGTTGTGAATTCTGGGTGACCATCCTGGGTGCTTATATATATATAATCTTGAATATTAGCAATTGTGATGCTGGTAATAAAGGTAATGCGCTGGAATGCAACTAGAATTTTCGTCTAGTTATTTGTCTTCCCTCGGTTTATGTTGTTTGTAGTGCGTTTAATAATCTTATTCCGACAGTGATTACTAAATACACTCCCCGTTTTCTCGTGGCATTTTTTTACACGTAAGACTTATTTCCTATCTTGACGAACAAAATGACACTGTTTTTTTTTCGCTAGCGCGCTAGGCATGCCTTCTAGTTCTGTTTTCTGTTTGGTCCCGTGTTTGCTCCCCATACACATTATATGTCATATTATCCCTCAGTAGCCATATCTCTCACCTAGATCAGAATCTGTTTTAATAATCATTCTAAACAAATTGGAGTGATGCTCTTTCCGTCACTTCTTCTACCATCTAGCCAATACTGACGGACGGGATCGAAATGACGGTGTTACAAGAAAGGAAGGTTTCCCCCGCCAGTTCGTTGACGACGTCATCTCAGGTACCAGGTAAATCAACGAAATGATTATCGGCGTCCGGTTGTGTTTGACACCTATGACAGTAATTTGGTGATGACTTCCCTCAAAAGAGTCCATTCTTGGCTGCTGACTGATACCAGCTGACGGATTTTGCCGGTATTTCTCCTTCAGTATAACCACTCTTATCCAATAGGCTGTATGGCTGTGTTGTATCCACAGGCGTCTGGTACCAGAGTAGTTCGGAATTTTGTTGGTCTTTACGGGACTGTACTCCGTAACGTTCGCTGAACATGTCGCTGAGTTACGCATGGCTGAAACCAAATTCTACGCCACTACTAAGAAACAAATTTTCAGTGTATTGATAACAAACCGCAATCAATCGCCTTTCCGGTCAAACAGAATACTGCTACATCCACCGAATGAGTCTCAATCACCGTGAAGCGCTTTCTCGAGGACCGACCACATTATGTCTTTGGTGATATGAAACATTTAAGAACAAATCAACTTTCAGTTGCACGTCCAAAAACACGGAACATGCTTTTTGATGTCATTTTATAAGCTTTTGGCTGAATATATAGAAAAAATGACCCACATTCCGAGCTGTGAGATAATCTCGCAAAGGTGCTAAAGTTCAGTAGTCTTCAAGATAGCATCCGAGAGTGACTTCTTATGGGGGTTGTTTTATCAGGAGGGAGGATAACTTTGTGTCCGGGTTATCCATTCCAGTTCGTTTAGAAGATTCACAGCTTCGAAAAAACGTGCAGTTCAGATGAGCAACATAATGTCTGAAGAGCTGAACTCTCTTCGGCATGCTATTGATAATTCTGGGATATGATAAAGACGAAACGTTTTGTTTCAAATTAGAATTACTTGTGAAGAGAATAATATTTATGTCCAGTAAGCCTGGGGTCATAAGGTTTTTCGTCATTTTGTGCTCATCATGGGCAGAAGAACTGATCCTTGCTCGAAGGCGTGTGCATCCACTAGTGTGAAAAGCTTGACATTCTTGGTTTCTTCAAAGATGAGAATTCCCGTCGAAGGTGGTTGGTGGGTATCAGGTCAACCTAGAAGTCAGACTGCGTAAGGACTGTCCAAACCTTTCGTAACGGCCGGGTGTTAAACTTGTCTTAATTCCCCTTGAATACAACGTTGGCTATGTAACCTCAGGCACATCATCTGGACAGACGATCAATGTAGTTTCACTGCCAAACATGGATAGCTTAAAACCTTCATTCGTTCGTCAGGCTCTCTGATCACCTTTCAGATACTACTCTTGACACGAAAGCTTTGAAACGTGTTGCGCTTCGATTACACAAACGAACTGTTGCTGAGGGATCGGATGAAAGGTGGGTGAAATTGCTCACTGGTTTACCTTTTAGTTCCGTTTTTCTAAGATGCTACTTTCCAATTTAGCAATAGAATCTGGCATTTCATTCGATGTACTTAGTCTACTGCGTAGAAGCTACCTGAGCTACCAACATTCTCTTCAATATCAAGTCCGCTGTATCCATGGTTTCCTTATAACTATAGATTTTTCAAGTACCAGTGACCTAGAAAGTTGGGCGTGGGTTTACGGCTAGCTTCTCTCGAGTTATCGCCCGCGATTGTTCTGATCATGTTCGCATTAGTGCTTGCCGGGTAAAATGGTTGGTGTATCAACTGTCTTGCTCCTCGATCAGCCTAACCGATGAGCGAGTAGAATATTTCCCTGTATATTTCAGTTACTCATCGGTCAAATATTTTTTCCGACGACCTACTTAAGTGTTTTGAAGGTTTATGGAACACTTTTTTGCATCACCTTGTGGCTGAGGCATCCCACAATCCGTTATGCCCTCTATCCTAAGTTGACTTCAAACGATTCTACACTAGTTCCTCAATTGAAATAGCCAGTTACTGATTCCTTGGCTTGCTAGGTGTGATGTGGTTTGCGCCTGAATTAGACAACATGGCTGGCTTTACATGGTGTGGTTCTCATTTGGATTGGTACAATCGTATGTTGCGAGGGAGATTTGGGTGCACAATCCTGGTATATGACCTATTGCACAAGTGAACTGAATATTGCCTCACGTCAGGTACGTTTGTTTAGAATCTGACTAGCCTAGACACACAATACTGCTTGATTCAATTCTTAGATATTCACCATTTATTCTGATGTTCCTACCTCGCGTTCACCTCAACGTACCGGGAAGTTTGTCCTCCTGTTTAATACTGAAGTATCTCAAAGCCGTTGAGTACTATCGAAGGAACTGATGTGACTCTATTTTAGGGAGAAGGAATTAGCGAAAGATGAGTGTACGAAACACCCATCATCCGGGACCCAGCCTCTCGATTCAAATTGCAACGTTGTCGGACAGCGTGTTTCCAAACCCAAGTACACAACCTGTGATCCGAGTAAACACAGCTTACCGATTTCCTCTGGACGCGGTGGGATAACCACTAAAAATGTACCGGATAGGGAACCAAGAGCTTCCAAAATCACAGACGATCAAGGACGTCCTGATCGAGAATCGAGCATCCCTAGTTCCGCTACACAAAGAATAGAAAAGAAAAAATCTATGGCCAAACCTTCATCATCACCGCATGTACAGGCGCCTGTATCCAGGTCTGGAAGTGTGTCAAACCTGGCAACAGCAGCTGCATCCGCAGCCCTGACCATTGAACGGTGCCCTTGGTGTTATCAAGTTCTGGAGCGCTATGATGAGTCGACCCTGGGATTGGGTATGCTTTGCTTGGCCACCTTTGTGCATCGAGAACCCAGCCTTGCTGCACCGTACTTGAAAGACATGTTGCTTATCGCAGCTCGCCTGACGAATGCCTCGCTGTATTCATGGCAGACCAACCTGTGAGTATTGGTTCATTGCTCTCATATTATCCGTTTTGTTTAAAAACAACATGAAAATAGATTATAAACTTGTTGACTTGCTGGATATCTTTGTCACACGCAGTCACTGGTGCTGTTGCGCTCGAGCTTTCGTCCTGTTTTACATCCCCTAAGAAACCGAACGAGTTAGAACTCTGCTGGCATCGGCACGTTATTCAAACTGACAAACTGGACTTTGACTCAGTGGAAGCGAGAGTGAACTGTCGTTATTCCAGGTTTTTGTTTTTTAAACGTCTCTTCATCTTCCTCCGCGGTATTGTCCACTTGTTGGAACTAGTGGTATTGGCTAGGTTACGGAGCTCCGTATTCCGGTGGAGGAACTGATGACCTTTGTAATGTGCTACTCATAAGGCTGCTGAAAATCCGTCGACAGCCCACGACCGGTTTCGCCCTTTTTAGGTCTCATCAGGTAGGCGCAGTCCCCTTATGTCCTACTTGAAACCAAATTGCACGAAATTAGCGAATATACACTCATTTGCAAACTAATTTGTTTTTTTCGAGAGACTCACCTGGAACCCAGATGAATCTCTCGTTTGTGATGTTCGCAGGCAACAGAATGTACTGCACCAGGCCGCCTCATGTTTCAGTCGATACAATATTCGAGATATCGCGATACATGTATATATTTGTAATGTACTACTCATAAGGTTGCTGAAAATCCATCGATGGCCCACGACCGGTTTCGCCCTTTTCGGACGACTGAAACATGAGGTGGCCTGGTGCAGCGCATTCGGTTGCCTGGAAACATCACAAACGAGAGATTCAGCTGGGTTCAAGGTGAGTCTCTCGAAAAAAAAACAAATTAGTTTGCGAGCTGATGATCTGTTCATTCTTTCAGCTCACTGAATTTCTCCCACATAGTTATTTTTGGTGGCATCCTGATAGACGTCGATAGCATACGTCCACTCCAGCGGACATACAAGCAGCAGCGATTTGCTACTTAGACCAATTTTTCTCATGGGTCCGACTTTCTGGGATGCTGTCTCCCGCATGACTTAGAGGGCCTTTCATATCCTTTATGTGATCTTTTATATGAGTTATGGTATAGCTGTCCTATTGTTTTGCTTTTATTTGCCAGGCCACACATAATTGTCCCCGGCAATGTGGCAAGTATTGCGCGGCAATTCCTCCGTTGCACCATGTACAACTTGGCTCCAAATGGACTCTTTCTGCAGCTTTTCCAAACCCCAATACCCGGTAAGTTGTCCAGTGGGTGCGATTTACGAGGACCTAGGCTGAATCTGGAGCAACATTATTTTTGTTCGTGCACTTCTCAAAACGGGAAGCGCACAAAATTACGATTTGTAATCACTATTAAAAGGGAAAATTTCTGCGTGAGGACCCAACCAGGTCGTTTGCTGTACGTTAGTTGTCAGTCTTACGAGGACATCATTCATCGCGCCAGTTGTAATTAAGGTCAAATCATCGAAAAATCATAAGAACTATAGAATAATCACTCGTGGAGCATGGGTGTGGTGTTGCGTTCACTTTTTGGTACTCTAAGTTCAGAACTCAGCTGTCAACTGACCTACTTCTTGGGACCAAGAGCGATTCTTATACGTCGACGACATTCCTGAAGCAGCTTCCTTATGGCTCTACCAGTCCAGCTCCTGATCACACTTTTTCATAACCAATCTATTGGAATAAATAATAGAGTGTTTGAACACGACTGACCCAGAAAGTCTTGATTTAGTTAAGCAGGGATTACGAACTGTGTTGAACTTCATGGACCCCAGCCTATATGCATTCATTTGCAAGTAAAGTTCGGATATTCAACGGAATCTCAGCCGGATTGTTTTTTGGTGGGTTGTCGAAGAGGTTTGACAAACCACGCGAAAAATGAAATCTATATATTATGTTGATTGGGTGAGATGCAGTCAGCGGAATTGAACGCTAACTAATGCTAGGACCATGTTTAGTTCCATGGTTGTCCAAGTCCACGCAGTGTGCCCCCCCCCTTGAGTTCGCTCTCGGTACTGAAGCAACACACAGCTTCAACCTGATTTCTCTATCTGTGGAAACGTCAACATCCACTGTGTAAAGCTGTCATCGACAGTTAGAATATTTGAGCTCTTCACCAGCGTACGCTGGTACAGTATTGCCGGCAAGTAAGTCTGTACTCTTGTCTTTGGCTGCGGATTGTCACTTAGCACAGTATCTAACCAGCGCAGAACAACAAACCATCAACTACATCGTCCACACTCAGAGGACAAGCAGATAATATTGACTATTGAGGGCAAACGAGTGACGATACAACCAAAGCGCAGCCAGTTCATGGACCAAAATGTCGCAAGACTTATTACTGAACACCCCTTCCCTAATTGCCACAATTTTGTGGAAAGTTTAGCAACTGGAATCACAGTTGTGTATGTGAAAAGCACAGAAAAGCTGTTTGACAACCATAAGTGCACCCACGTTCTTCATCTAGCCCTGGATGTTGACAAGTAGACCGAACCAGTTTCCGACCAGATTTTAGTCCCAATATATCGAGTAAGTTCCGAACAGGGCGAAGCCCCACTGGTAGCTCAAACTACGGATTGGGACGAACCCTGTAGAATTCACCTGGCATCACATCATAATCAAATGGTCTAACTGGAGTATTTTTCACCATACAGTCGCCACATAACTTGAAGAACCATTTAGTCGAGTCTCTTATTTGGCTTAGTCGATTGCTATGCATACCATCATCATACAGCTGATGCGATAGAGAATACCGTCCGAATTCGATAGCGTCACATCTGAGGAACTTGGTTCGATTCACTCACCCATTTAATTCGCATGCTTTTCATGATTAGTCCTATTCCAGCGAAGGACTATTTTGAACTTGAGCTAGTTACCGAGTTTCCTACACTTTTGTCTTTAAATTTCTTTTTGACATTTCAGATGAACATTTCTTTAGGTGTATCATCTCAGTGTTGGTGGATTTCGAAGAACACATGTCATTCTTTCAACCAGTGCTTCAGCTTCTTGAAGCACTGAATAAACGAAAAACGCTGCCAACAGACACTCTGCCTGTGCTGCTAGAAAACATAGCCAGCTATTTGGAACATTTGCCGAACTTGACAGATGATGTCAAGGTGAACCATTTCATTGCCTCTGGCTGGGCTGACACCATTGGACCTTTGGATCTGTTTTTGCGGAAACTTGCAACAGTGACTCCGGTGCCTAGCAATTTGGCAACAACTGTGCGGATTATGACCTATATTCTTCGCGCCCCCGTCGCTTCCAACTTCAAGGTACGTATCCTATGTGTGCTGTAACACTTTACATGACTTCATCGTATTATGATTTGATCTCTTGTGAGATGCAACTATGGAAAGAGACCCAAAGGTCTCTGTGATGAGGAAAGTTGGTTTCTTAAGCAACCTTTAATGTCTTTAAAGGTAGGACTCGGGCTCATGCAGCTTTTTGTGTGTATCTCAAAAATCATTACTCCGACTTTCAGTCGAATGAACTTTGGTCGCAATAATTTTAACGGCATAGAAGTTTATTGAAAATGCTTCCAGTCTGTGACTCGTCCTACAACCAGCACTGAAACGTACGAGGCAGCTGGTGAAAAGCTACGTTTCCAGTGCTGTTTAGCCACAAGTGATTTTCTGGTAATTTTCCGTGAACTTAACAAAAAAAAACTAACAGTCGTTGATAAAATTTGACCTACCAGTATTCCCTCTCATAAGAAGCTATATTTTATCCTCAATTATCGAAAGACTTCTGAATCAGATGAAAGCAGTCGATTCCCACTAAAGTAACTTCCTGTGACCGAGGTTGAAGTTCGTTTTGAAAGACATTCAAATTAAATAGTTTCCAGGTTCGTTTGATTAGCAATTCTTGCAGAACGGCTGAGATATTACCAAGGTAACATCATTCTTAATAACAAAGGGAACAACTACTAGTTAAGGTTTTACTTCAGGTTCAGAGGAAGTTTTCAATTTACTGACCCCAGGTATTTGAATTTCGTCTTTGCAACTCAGCATATTCTGCGTTTTACCGACGAAACATTTTTGGTCTAAGTGCTGTGGTTAACCTACCTAAATATGGAGTACCAGTTTTGAGAGAATCAAGTTGTTTTTCTCCTGACAACGGCCGTATCAATAGTACTTTCGGTTTTTGGCAGGGGCTTGAATTGCGCCACCTTTTCCGACGCCCAACAGTAGTAGTTGGCGAAATAAATTTGCACACGAATTTGGTTTTGCAAGAGACTCACCCGGAACCCAGCTGAATCTCCCGTTTATGGGGCTTCTAAGCAACTGAATGTGCTGCACCAGGTCGCCTTATGTTTCAGTTGACACGATGTTCAAGATATCGCAATACATATATGGAAGTAATACACTACTCATAGGGTTACTGAAAATTCTCAGCCTACGACCGTTTCACCTCTCTTGAGGCTTATCAGGTAGACTCATTACCGAAGTTTTCGTCAACTTTATGTTCTATTTGAACCTAAATTGCACGAAGTTAGTGAAACACCCATCAGAAACGAGAGATTCAGCCGGGTCCCAGGTGAGGCTGTCGCAAAAACCAAATCTGTTTGAAAGTGAGCGTATTTCGCTGGCTTCGTGAAATTTGGGTCGCAGTAGAAAATGAGATTGTGGAAAACTCGGTGGCTGCGCTTACCTAATGAGCTTCAAGAAAGGTGAAACTGGTCTTGGGCTGTCGAAGAATTTTGAGCAACCTTATGAGTAGTGTATTACCTCTAAACAATGGTAGCCTTTTTTTTGTCTAAAAGCTGTCTTTGAGTCCGATGATCGTCGGAAACTATAGCGCTGACGGGTATCCTTTTTAAATCCTTATCATATTAAAGTTTTGTATGCTTTCTCTTCTGGAAGCATATATGTCTGCAGTAAATTCATCTGGGTTCACCAGGCCAGGGTTCCCTCTGTTGATCACTTTTTTCCACTTCTTGAGACTTCTTTACCCGACTAACAACTCGGTGAAAATATCTTCGGGCGTTCGTTCACGGACGTAGACAGTGTAACTCTTCTTGGTCACAGATCTTTGTGCTACGCAGTTTCGTATGTGCCCTAAGCGTGCAAAATGCAAAACGCTACTGCAAGACCCAAACTTGATGTTCGCGGATAAGTCTGCCGTTGTGATGAATCAAGGCGTCCATGTGAGCTGATTAACGAGATCACTATTTCGTCCACAAACGAGGGAACCGAGGAAGGATTATTACCCATAGGTTGTGACAGTCGGTTCTGCTTAGGTATAGCCGTTTCGGTTTCTGGTCTTCATATTACTGGAAATTTTGAAGGAAATAGCCATCCATTGAAGGTAGGAGCGAAAATTCCACTGCTTACGCTTTCGGACTGTTTCTAGATCCGATTCTTGCTTTTTCTCGCATTCCATACAGCAAAATGCGAATACCAGTGCGATCTTACGAGTTATGTTCTGCAAACTCGTCTGTCCTATTATTGTGGTTGTTCACCCTGAAGCGACCGCACAATTGGTCGATTCACGTGTAGGCATAAACCATTTAACCTTGGGACTCATCTGTACAGTGTGCATAAGGAAAGCACTTCGTCACTTGTCGGCGCGCTAGAACAAGGTCAACTAGAAGTTTCCCGGACCGAATGGTCACTAAAAGTAAAGCGTACGACTCGACTTAAGTTGATTATGTTTAACTGTTATCTGTCTTCATTTAACATACTGTTCTACGGTTGCTTATCGGTTTACCGGTGACAGTGTCCATCATATCCATTAATCAATGCCCGAATCAATCAGTTAATTGACCCACTTTGTGAGTTTGTTTAGGGGTTGCTCACATCCGACTGAATGACTTGACAATGACTCCAGTTCAGTGTTCAGAACCGTAACCACTATCATCTGTCTTCTATACCGAGTATTTCACTTACTGTCTACTTCACGTTTCAGACCCTTCCGGATACGTTTTCTGCCATCCTTCGTCTTATTGTCGAAAACGTACCATTCAGACTATCAAGTGTGATCGAATTGTGCTCTCTTAGCAGCCGCACCTTGAAGGTAAGCGCGGAAATTTGTGACGATTAACCAATCGTCTCGGGGATAAGATACATGCGGATCTTAACGAGTTAATTCGAGATGTTGACGGAGCAGCTGAATCGATGCCTGAATATGGCCTGTTATTTTTATTTACTCTGCTCCAAGCTTTCGGCCTCCTATCTGGATTTCATCCTCAATTCCCGACCTATTGCACTCCACATTTACTTCAAGTTGTAATGTATTCAAGTTTCACAACTGACTATTTTTCCGCTGGCCTCACGGTTGGGCAGTTTGAGCTGCACACACAAAGAAGTGGAGTCATTTTTTCCAATGGAGACATGTATCCGGCTTGCTTCATGTTTCGTTCATAACAAGCGTTCAAATGTTAAATCGTTTCGGCGACTGGCTGTGGGCAACCCAAATGTAGAATGATTCCAAGGGCTGCGCAAACCTAGAGAAACGGAGTAAAAAGCCCGGAGTGAGCTCGACCCACAGAACTATTGATTATTTATACACCCCTCACCCCCTGAGTCTTCGCAGATCATGTCCTCTGCTGTCCTGACGACTACAAACTTGTTCCTGACCTGCTAACCAATTCTGACTCCGTTGTTAGGGGAAATGTGGGACCACTTTAACTCATAACCTCTTTGGTGAGGTGGCTGGTTTTTGGGTTTATCGCCTAGCTTGCTAATTTGTTTATTCTAGTAGGCAACCAAGATGGCACTGTCAGTTCTTCAACGATGCTTGTGTTTATACAGGTTCTTTAGGGACATTTGATAGCCATGACTGATCAGTCGGACCCTTTATCGTTGCTGTCCTTGCCATTTGGAATTTTTAGGCATCTACCTGGCTATTTTATTGACCGTTTGTGTTTCTGTTGCCACTTTGGTGGTAGGTTGTATTCGTTCATGTTTTCTGTTGTCTTGGGAATCACCACAACCAACAGCATATTAGCTGTTTCCTCGATCGTTGGTAAACCATTGACCTAGTCATAAAGCTCGGTTATCAAAGCAAGAACGAAACAGCGCACCAGAGCCACCCGTAATGCTTCTGTGGTATTTCCCTTACGGAGGTCACCTCACATACCTTATAAATTAACGTCGTCCACTGTTGGACAACAACAGGTTTCCAAAACTTCACATTTTATTTTAGAAACAGATGCTTATGCAGTCCCAGCTGAACTGCGTGTTATCAGTTTTCAACTATACATCAAAACCTTGGCGTCACCGGACGTTGTTCATATGGTATGCGTAAGAACGACAGTTTTGCCGTCCAACATGGAAATCCATATGCGAACCATTACTAAAACGAGCGTGTATCAGATCAGATGCTGACCCAAATAGATGGATAGAAAATACACTCAGCCTGCTATCCTGACTCTCACTTTTCTAGATAGTATCTCTCATGACATTTAACAAAAAAACTGATCCCTTCCCGAGGCATTTCGTTATTGTTGGCATGTGGAGCGATCACATGACCTTCTGGTTTGCGGTCTAAACCAATTAGTTTCAGGCTCACGAGGTCGCTAACCAGTCACTGTTTTCTATTAGAACTCAATCGATGAGTTTGGTAAATGGATGACCATCTGTAGATTCTGATTCCTTCATTCATTTGGGTTGGGAAAGGTTCTCGCCTCCCCTGAGATACTTGTGCCCAAGAATGGAAGCGTGTCAAACCAGATTAGCTTCTTTTGAAGAGTAGGTGCATTAAATGTTTGGATTTTCTAAACTGTTCTTTCTCTACGCATTGTAATGTTTCACGAGCTTATGGCATTTACTTTCTTCCCGATTCGTAAGGACACTTCACTCTGATACTTTGGAGCTACTTATTAAAACTTTGTTCATCGCAAGTCAACACTATATCGGACGAAATTTGGAGGCGTTGTTGTTAGTTTGCATAACATTGCACATTACAATGAACGGTTGACGGTTATTTCTCTATTCCATTTGCACAAAATCACAGGAGCGTACGAAAATCCAGTTGACAAAGACGCTCGTTGAACTTTTTCACCAAGCCATCAAATTTCGGGTCAGTATTCCTGACGAAAATTTGGTCAAATTGCTTCAAGTAAGTTCTTTATTCTCAGCTTTGATACTCGTGAATTCCCATCTTGCCTAACAGCCTAACATCTGGTAACAGCCGTTTCGGCGCGCAATTCTTTTAATCGCTCTATGTTCACGTCAGCGTCCGGAAGTGGGTTGGTGACTGCACTGAGTTGCCTGTTGTAAACCCCGTGGGCTACCTGAGTTTCGGATACAAGTTTCACGTGGTTTCGTATTTTGGAGTCGTAGGTGGCTTTAAAAATGACGCTCGTGGGTATAAGTGCTGTTGTGATTTTTTCCAGTTGCTGAGGCACCCTGTGGTAGTTGATATGACGTGGTCTATTCACGACGCGAACACACAGTAGAGTGCAGGCCCGTAAACCACGCAGTAAGCCGACGACCAGACCAAGGCAGTCGAAGTTAAATAGAATGGGACAATGTGGATGGACATTGATTACAACGGAAAGGCACTAACCAATGAGAAAACGAGCGGCAGCCAAGGTGTTAGGGACATACAAATCGGCGAAATTAGATGACGTGTCTCTTCCCTTCCTAGACATCATCGCACACATTCACCCCGAAGCGCTCATCCGGCTTGGTGCATGCTGCAACCTTCGCAATGTACTTTGCTGAGTCATGGAAACATCAGTGGCTTGCAGGACGGGTATTGTCAGTTCTTCCCCTGTCAGTTCGGTAGCACTCGGCTACGTGTTGCAGTTTTTCTTTTTGTTTGCGAATAGGTTCTCCAAGCGATGGTTTCGTATAGATCGGAGTGGTTTCAGTACAGAAAAATCGAATGCGCCTCTTCATTGTACACGAATCTGTCTTTGAGCTAATTCCATCTTTCCCCAAGAGGGAACAAAAAAGAACTTATTGTATTGTGCCAATACGGCTGTCACAAAAGTGGCCAGGACGAGGGGTTACAGCTTCAGCGAAGCAAGACAAATCCAAATAGGGTGGTCTACTTTGAACGTAGCTAGTAGCACGCCGGTTCTCGTTGTGGTGTTTGCTGTTTATGTTCTCGAAGGAACATGGGTTGTTTTCACTTGTTCCTGCCTTCGGTGCTTTTTATTTTGAACGGAGAGTTATACTGCTTAAACTGAACAGCAATCTTCACGATCAGTTGGCTAAGTGACTGGGTCATAGTAGCTACCAACGTAGACGTACAAATGCTTGTAAACCTACGAATATTTTCCGCCATTAATTCGGTTGCTTACTTAGTAAACCAATGTGATTTTCCTCTTGGACAATATCAACTTCGAAGGAAGCTAGATGCTGTGAAGTGACGTCAAGGCATTAAGTCCACTGACCTGCGTCTATTGAGGGATGTCCCCTCAGGCCAAAACCGGTTAGTCCCTGTCCCAGGAAAACGTATTATCGAGTTATCATTGGCGCTCTCTTGATACTACAGTTTATGTAACTGCTCTTTTCAACTCAGTTTATCCTGATGGATGCAGGCGGAACATTGGAACCTAATCAAGTTGTCGAGGGACTAACTACATTGTTTAACCCACAAACTTATCATTTGTTCTCCACTGGTGCGGCCGAACTGATGCGTCCCCATATTGCTGACTGCATCGCCTTCCTATCCGATGTGCACACAATGCATAAGGTGAGTATGCATATAAACCTATTATTATATATGTGGTTCTGTGAGATTCAGTAAACACCCACCTATTGGATGTCTTCCAAAGGATGTTCATTCACCAATCGAACCCAATCTGTGTTAGTTCGCCTTTCATGAATGGACAGCATACTTCAAGCCCAGCAGCGGTCACTCGGATCAGGATAGTGTAACCAACTAGATTCCATCCACTGAACAAGCATAACTTCGGCTTGTATACGGGGTGGCTTTAGAGTGTTTTCCACTTACGGCGCCGTCTGCTTCTTTCCGGGATGCATACATCCTTCAGTCCTATTACACTGGTGAGGTTGCTGGAACTGCTGCGAGCATCTTTCAGTTAGACTTTGGAGGCTGACAGGACCAACCCACCACATTTCCAAACACAGGAGCGATTAAGAGTGGACAAGCCAAGTCGGAGAACTGGCTTACGATTTTTGGACTCATACTGTTTGAAAGCAGCAATTGCTCGTCAACCAACCAACCTAGATGTATGGCACATGTTTTATTGCAATCTATCATGTTAATGTTTCCATTACAGACTTACCGGTTCTATGTCGAGTTGCCGACACTTCGTTAGTTTCCGCGTGGTGCTGTAGGCTGACATGAATCTAAACATTTGTTTAAAACCTAGTCCAAGCATGCTCCATTCGCACTTGTATGATGAGTAGGTAATGCTCTGTGGTTTTTGTGCGCCACTCCAGGTGAAGCAAGCGCAAAAATTAGCGATCCAACTGAACATCCACGCTGCAGGCGGTGGACCGTATCATGGAGTGAATCCAGCCAACGGAGTTTGCGGCAATGGGCCACCCAATTTGGGCGCTTCTGCAGGACTGATGAGCAGCGGCACAGGAATGTCTGGAGTGACTGTCGTTGGTGGGTCTGCAATCCACGGCGCTTCTGGTGCTGGTGGTGGAACCGCCAGCGGATTTGGAGGTAATACGGGATTGAACGTGTCAATCCCGAGTATTCACGAGGACGTGTTGGGGGCACATTTGAAATCTGGATTGGCCCAGTACATATCCTTAGAATTATCGCGTTCGAGTAGTTGCAACGATCAGGATGTCATAACTCTTTTGGCACCAGGTTTATTGGCGGACATTCGACCCTTAAAAAACACTGGATTTACGTCTTCGAGCAACTCTCAGCGACTGAAACCGCCATCCATGCAGCCCCAGGCGACGGGATCAGTTACAGCTACACCTACGAGTGGGACACTTTTGGGTGCAGGATTAGAGGGTGGGTCTGGAAGAAGCACACGCCCCTCAAGTAGTGTGATCTCTAAATCAAGTGACGATCATCCCAGTGAAAGGATTATTCACCGTAACGCGGATACTATGATTGTAGTAACCCATTCAACAGAAAACGCAGTGAGTGAGTCGCAGCAATGTGACAGTGGAGAAGCACAACAGGCATCTGTTTCAGCGTCGAATAGCACAACCGGTCTGAGAATCCAGACACCGATTCCATCGAATTCGTCTAGTCCCGCCAGTGGCCAGATCAATCCATCGCCAGTTTCAGGCGCAGCAATAAGCCTAACGTCACCGCCAGGTGCGCCGATCACAAGTTCGCCACGCCTTGGGACTCACGGTCACGTGACTCTGGCCCCAACGAGCTCACAAACCTCGCAGCTTGATGCACCCGTTCTACATCTGCTTCCTTGGCTGAAATCTATTCCTCCGTCTTCTCAACTCGGGTACGTCCTAATTTTTTGTGGGTCTCAGTGATACACAAAATAGTCTGATTGCAACACCACATGTATCTAGACGCCCGCTTTAATTTTTACTGTCGTGCTGTGCTTAGTAGACGTTCATATTAACAATCGAAGGTCTTCCTAATCCTAGTCTTAATCACACCTACGTTTCCGAAGCCTCATCTTTTTTTTCCAAACGAGTTACCGAAATTCACGTAAATCAGACCAGATGGGTGGTGAAACTCATCCAAAACGTCCGTATAAACAGAATATCAAGAATTGCCCATTTGACAGCCGCCACTCGGCAATTACGAGACTGTGCAATGTTATTATAGTTTTCAGCAGACGATGACGCACAGAGATGAGTACTTCGCAGTTCCCGCACCATTCGAAAAGGCTTCGTTCAGTGAAGAAAACACACTCGGATATGGCTGTCAGTACGAACGAGGCCGGTCGACCGGATCAAGCAGGGAAAACGGGGTCCCTGTTTCAGCTTTTGTGGTTCTGTTATCGGTGCCTAGTTTCGAAATTGCTTTTCCACAGATCCCAAGTTTTCTATCAGGGATTGCCGCACAATTGGCCCTTTGGATAAAATTCCAAACGCTTTTTTTCCAGCACCACAAAATCAATCACTCAGTCGAAAGACCGTGGATACGTCGTCTTAACCTATCCTTATTTAATTAGGCCTCCTGAAGCAATCATTCTCCGCCCGTATTGTCGTTCGTGTTCTACTCATCTGTCCGTTTCTTTCAGACCACGCGATTTTCTTGTCATGGTGGAGCGAGTGCGGACATTGTCGTGGCTGTTGTTGGGAGCCACCATGAACATGGCCCTGACGCGTGAGGCGACTGGGTTGGCCTGTCGACCTGTCCCATTTGTTCTGGTGAGGGCTGTCGCAGATTTGGTGAAGGCATTGCTCAGCAGCTTTCCAGACCAACAAAAAGTACGTTGATTTGCTATGGAATAAAACCAACTATCTTCCAATCAGTGCAGCACTAAGTCTCCTGTGTTTATATAGGCTGCTGTGGCGGATGCAAAGAACTGAGTGCTAGGTTTCTTCACGAACACTTGGTATGCAAGCGCCTACCTCTGGGATCAGCAGCTCCGTATCAAATGTCAACCGCGTGTGCGAACAATTTCCGATCGATGTCCTATAGAGTCAAACAAACTTGATAGCGGCTTTCCTGACAAGCCAAGCTTGTAATCACTGTCTGCGCCAAAGCAGTTTGTAAACACTGAAGCACATGGCCTAACCGTCCTAATTTCTTAGCTTGCAATGAATTTCAGCGGGTCGATTGAATCAAAGTGGTATCGAAATATCGAGGTGATTATTGCCTGGTCAGGGCTACAAATTTGCTAAAAACCTGTTTTATTGTAGGGTTCTGCAAACCACGTGTGTCACACCAACCCTACTCAGAGTATTAATAGTACAAGGTTTCTTGGAAATTTGTTTCGTCAGAAATACGAAAAATTGATGCCTCCAATCCGTGGTTCGCGTTGTTTGTTCTCATTTGTTTTATGTGTTCTACTGTATATGTTTAATGTAACTTTTCTAACAGTTATCCTGGGCTCCCGTTAACTAGTTTTGGCTTTCGGTTTCTCGTTCACCCTGTCGTCGTTTCCAAAGATCGGATGGGCGGGCTAGTGATCAAGTCATGCGATTCGGGATCCTGAGTGAATTTATACCAAGTAGCTGTCAACGGTCTAGATGTTTCCCAGCACTGTTTAGGTCACGTTAAGAATTTTGTCCGTATGGGTTACCTTTCTGTAGACCTCTGTCTGTAGTTGCCCTTCGGCAATCTCGTGATGAGGACGTCCAAGAATGCCAGCTGTCCATTGGTTTCTTCCGTTGCGAACTGGATATCGTCATAAACACTGTTTATTAGTTGACTTGTTCGCTGTAGCACGCTTGTCTTGCTGATAATAAAAGTTCCTTTACACATCGGATCCCAATCTTGGGTTTTTTGTCAGGAAGTACACTCCCCTCCAGTTTTTACATTGCATTTTGTTCACTAAATCCAGTAATCGAAGACCCCCTCGGGGTTTTTCATAGTTGTTCATAGTACTCTCTCCGTTAAGCTCAAAATATATGACCAGGCATAGGCTGATCGATTTTCAGAGGTTTTCTTTCCCTAGGATTCCATTTGCAACGCCCCGTCTTTCAAGTAGTTCGGCGGCAGTTGTTCTGGCGGATTCCAGATCTATTTATCTGAAGAGTGACCTTACATCAAAAGCAATTACCATTCCATCCTCCTTAATTTTTATGATCCTCAGTTGTGTCTTGCGATTCACTGACAAAATGAAACGTTTGCAAGCTAGTTGTCAAGCTTAGCGAACAGATCAACGGCAATCTGACCAGCCACGGGTAATTGCCCCGAGCCAGCAATATTTTGACACATGACGACCTTAAATTCCTATCTTGTCTAGATGTGTTCCTTATTGTGAGAAGTGGTACTGGTAGAGCTTTCTTGAGAACAATGCAGTCAGGACAGGACACACTTTTTTTTTTAAAAAAAAGCTTGTCATCAAATACGGTAAATGGACGTCATATACTGGATACGTTAGATGAGTGGCACCACACGATGACTGCTTGTACACATTCTGACTACTTCCCGTGATCGGCCGTGCCGTGCGTTTTATTGTGGCCACAACGAAGTTCCATTTCATAAAGGAAACTACTCACAAGGTTGCTGAAAACCCTTCGACAGCCCACGACCAATTTCGCCCTTCTTGGGGCTCATCAGGTTGGCGCAGTCCCCGAGTTTCCGTCAACCAAACCAAATTGAGTTGCAAATGAGTGTATTTCTCGAAAACACTCCAATTTGGGTTCAAGTAGAACATAAGGTTGACGGAAACTCGGGGACTGCGCCTACCTGATGAGCCCCAAGAAGGGCGAAATTGGTCGTGGGCTGTCGAAGGGTTTTCAGCAACCTTGTGAGTAGTTTCCTTTATGAAATGGAACTTCGTTGTGGCCACAATAAAACGCACGGCACGGCCATATTTCTCGAAGTTTCATTTGATTTACCTACTTTTCTCAGTTCAGTCCGATCAAGTATGAGCATCAGCAGCAGCTGCCAGACAGGAACCATACGTTCCGCTCAACCTGTAGGTGGTGCTTGCCTAAATTGAACTAATCCGATGCACGGAATCACTGATCTATTTAACCATACGATTCAGACGCTTCAAACCACATTCGGTAATGACTTTTCAATTGTCCATTTCCTTTTAGCAATCTGTCACGGTCATGTCATCTCTGTACCACGCGTTTCTTCTTTGTCAGGTAAGATTCATTTTTTTACTCGAGACTATTAGTTTGCCATGGTCGAAACATGCAGTGAGGCCACTCTAGTCCCAGCACAGTAAACACTGTTGGTACGTCTTGCTGAATTCCTGTAGTTCGGTTAACACGTACCGGAGTGGACTTGTTCTCCTTAACCAGTTAGAATATTTATGTTAAAAAAAAAAGAAAAAAAATCATATGAGATACATCTTGGTTCGGAGAAACGGCAGTGCATTGACCGATTCTAGCCATTGATCACTACATAAGCTCTACGATTTTCTTGTGTTCTCTAAAAAGGCCTATTGTCAACGCTGCACAGAATAATGTGAAGCCATCACAACTGTTCACGCTGAAAGGGACCTTTAAAACATTGATTTGGTCACATGGATGGCAGGGGAATATCAAACCAATGGAAAGGTAGTTGCATTTGAACTGGTTAGTGATGTGTGGACGGCCTCCATATCCAGATAACTTTATAGTATTCAACCCAGTATAGGTAATGCTGGTAACTTCAAGGAATGAAACGCCATATTTTCTGAGATTGTCTTTCATATCCCAGTTGTGTGTACGCCTTCGTGCTCCATTTGCCACAGTTCATGATTAGCACTCGCAACGCGTTCTTAGCTAGGTAAGTCTGACTCGGCTTTCTGCATACCTCACTGAAAATCGTTTCCCCTTTGGATGTCTCCCAAGGTTTGAGCTGAAACAGCCACCCTGGTCACTACTGAAACGCAGTGAGATAAGGTGCTTTGGACCACCCGTAGGTGGTCTTATGAAATTCAGCTTATTGCGGCTAAGAAATGCAGTGACGTGCCGCTGTAAGTGAACTGTATTATGCTTTTTCTGTTTCAGGTTTGGACTGTTTACTGTGAGACTGCAGCAAGCCTTTCACCTGCACACTCAACACAACACAAAGCCGCGGTTGCTACTGCGGTCGATTTTTGGACGCGCATTATGCCCACTGTTCTTCGGTTATTATCTATTTCTGAAGACGTAAGTGCAGATATCGAGACATTAAAAACCAATCTTCAAATATTATTTGATTTAAATTGTTTGCTAGACCAATTTTGCTTCTTATCGAAATCAAGCGCAAGTGTGCTCGCTGTTGGCAGTGCACCATGCACATAATAATCTGGAATTTCACGGCTTTCCCACTATGCTGAAGATGTCAACAGCTATTCGCATTTTGGCAATACATAATCACTGATAGGCTAGTTTTATCGGAGTAGTTAACCGAGCTACCTCAGAGGGCTGTCATCTTTGTCGATGTGACCAGATCCGCGTTCTGTGTTTCAAAACGATTTCGTAAGTGTCGATGCGGAAGACTTTCAGAACTCGTCGCTTCATGCTCGTCCTCCTGTTCTGGTAAGCTTACTCAGATTAGAATGACCAGAATATAATCAAGTTCGGTATGTTAGCCTCATCGGTGGTTAACAACCGAAAGACCGGTCTTCGCAGCCCCATTTGAGGACGTGATCATGTTTGTCTTTTTCCAATATGCAAGAAAATCTTTCCGTTTTTAAGTGGCCGAGCTCGAGCTCCACTTTTAACAAACAGTTTCAAAAGTTTGGCATGCACAGAATGGACTTGAGCTCCTCACGCGCTTTCAGCGAATATGGTGATATATCCAGGAGCCATGCTCTCTCAGGGCAGATAGTTTTAGCAAGCATACTTCCCCTCGGAGTGTTGTTTTCAATTAATTCTCCTTCTCAGTTTGATGATTGTGAATTGGTTTCCCCGAATCTGTTTTATGGTAATGATAGAATTTACGAATGAAGAACAAGACGAGGCTGTTGGTTCGCCGTACCCAACTCTCGAAAACTAATGGAAGAATACGGAGTTTCGGGTCCAGTGTTAGTCTTCGGATTCTGATTCCTATGGACAAATACATTTTTCCCACATAGTCGCAGTTGTTTTCATTGTCTTTTTTTAGATTAGAATGTCCGACTTTTGCATCTGTCACTGGTGTGCTAGACTGACTAATCTTTCACTACCAATACATTAGCCATCGGTACTTTTTATTCCAGTTCGTCATCGTCAGCGGACGCCTGTTGACCGTTATGGAAGAGTTAATGGAGTGCCAGTGTGCAGTCGTCACGAAGGTGAGTATGAATTGAGTCATCCACTTCATGCATTAGATTCAGCATCTGTGGCACAACGAGATGACCGAGGTGATGTTTTCGCTTCGCGGACATACCAACCAATGTCTTCAAATAAACTGTTATTCGTATGTAAACCTAGCGTATCAGTATATCCCTACACATAGAAAAGGGCTTTTGAAAACAGGCCGAGACATTGTCGTGAGAACTCATGCGACATTCAGTCGGTTACATCAATATGACTGGGTCTAGGATAGGTCACTCATACTATAGATTGCCTCTGCCAACCACAAAACCTTCAGTTACCGTGGAAGGGTTTGTTCTGTCCATTTTCTCTGTTGTCGTTGGGATCCCGATTCAGTTGTCGTAAGTTTCATGTCCGTCTTCTATGCGAGACGGTGAAGCATACGTCTAACAAACTTAGACGATATATGTAGCCTTCACTGATAACGAGGTCTAGCCGAATCATGGAGCTCCATACTGATATCTTTGGTACCATTAAGCCTAGCCTAAAGTGCCCCTTTATGGTGCAGATAGAGGGGTTGGCAGTTTGCTACGTTCAAGCAGTTATCAGGAGTTTTGATCAGTTGGTGGCTAACATTTGTGTCAGTGTACATAGATGTTGCCGTTGGGAAAAATCCCATCCTGTGATTTGATCGGCATTCAGACGGACGCACGGTCCAAATCAAGTCATGATAAGGATTCATAGAGTCAAGGCGGTACTATTTTATGGTACTTGTGTTGTGAGTAATCTCTCGCTAGGCGGAAAACATCCTATGTTAAGAACAACGTCTAACAGACATTCATTCTTCATCCCTCTATAGCTGTTTCCGGTTTGGATTCCAATGCTCTGTGGAAGGCATAGACAGGTACGTTGAGTGTAATAGCAACGATTTTGTGCGACTGTTCAGGCTCCAACTGATTACCGTCCTTACCGTTTTATCAAGTTCTTTTCAACTGCAGACAAAAGGTTTACCGTTACCGAAGATGTGTTACACACTCCTGTTTTTCCCATCGAACCAATACTACAAGAAGATCGCTTCGTTAGCGAATATACACTCATTTGCGAACTTATTTGGTTTTTCGAGAGACTCACCCACCTCCCAACTAAATCTCTCGGTTTTGATGTTCCCAGGTAACTGAACGTGCTGCACCAGGCCGCCTCATGTTTCAGGCGCTACGATATTTGAGATGTTGCGATATATATATATATATATATATATCGCTTTGTGATTTTTCGATCTTGACTTGGTGGTTACCCAGCAAGACGTATAAGCTGGGTCACCATCATCGTTTCTTGATAGGACCTAAAACCCAAACTCTTGCAAAAATATCCATTTATCGGCGTACTGTGGCCATTTAACTCAGGAGAAGCAAGAGAAGCGGATTATCAGTGGTTTGTTCAAGTGTGCGCAAATTGGAATCTAACTACAGACTACGTAACCGCCCGCCGCCACTGTCATCTAGAAATCAAACGTCAGTGTGCTGTATGAGCACAACAACCTCAAGTTACAGCTGAAGAGTAAAAACCAATGCTCAAGGATTCAGCCTTGGTGGGGTCATAGTTAAGCCGTTGAAGGTGGGCGGCGCTGTATTTTGTACCGATCAGCTTACCAGCTAAAGAGAGAACACACGTGCTTTCCTCCCTCTCTTTGCGAAGGGTGACTCACACGACAAACTGCAAGGGTGCCTCGAATGTGCAGTTGGGTATCTCTTACATAACCAAGTTACACTGTACTATGGGCAAGCCACACTGTATGATGCATTGATCACACTCCGCCTGGATGTCAAACATACTTATTGTGTTTCGTAATCACCAGGTACGTCCGGATCAAAACAAACTGATACAGGATTTCGAAGTGTGAAGCTTTGTTTGCATCCTGATAATGATGCCGACCTATGCTGAACAGTTAAGAAACACATTATGACTGTTCTCTCCTCTTTCCAGGCAATTGATAGCGCACTTCCCATTAGCCTATGAGATGATTCCAACCCGCGGCTCTCCTGAACGCTCCTTAAACCCTTTCGCCATACTACCTAGGGATGAACGCCACGACCCTGCCCCTCCAGCCTGCCTCAAAACTGGTGTAATTTTCCATTTCTGTGACGGCTGACAGCGAGCTTTAGACACTGACGACCACGTGGCCATCTGAGCATCGCCAACTGATGGAAAATGTTTCGAATGCTAGTGATCCTGATATTTTTGACCTACTTTCTGTTAATGCACATGTTCTGTGAGGAAAATGAGCTGACGGATCACTAAGAGAGGCAGCAACAGTAGGTTAAGTGGTTGAGAACTGTCAATAGACCGCGGTCTCTAAATAAGAAAGCCCACAAGCGTTGATGCAGGGAATTTACGGCTGTCGTTTGCCTGAAAAAATACAGGAACTTCAGGGAAGGATGGCGCTGGTATCTCAGTTCACCTCTCCTCCCGGCAATTTTATGGTCTCCACACGCACAATTATGTTCCATTTTGGAAGGACTCTGTCCCTTCTTACCCGATTTTACTCTAAGTTCCGAAGAGAGGTTGAGGAAAATCGCGAATACCGCCGCCTACCTTCTTGTCTCTACTCTCCCCATACGACTTTCGAACGCAAGTTGTGCGAATCAGACTTTCAGCTTACATCGAAGTCGGGAACATCGAGCTAAATTCTGGTATCACACCACCAAGTATTTTCTCACTTCGGTACTGTATTTGGCTGTCCATTATGAGTGAGTGTGGCTTGTCCTTCTTCCTGACGAGGTACTAACGAAACTCACTACTGTCACCAAAGCTCACTAATCGTCAACGAAGACAGACGCACATACCGTTAAGCATTTGTGTTATTTGACTTGGCGATGCACTGGATAATGAGAGGGTGCTGTAGGTTCCCACCGAGCCCAAACATTTGGGTTGCAGGCCTCGAACGCGCTGATGACACTGTCTTAGTTGGCGATCTACAAGCTGTTGTTATCGAATCGCCTATCACGCAAGGCTTTCAGAAATGGCGATCAAGACAAAGCCCTCATTCATTCATGCTCAAGGGCAACCCTCCACATTTCGACACTCGGCTTCCCGCATTCTGAGCAACGGACAAGCTAAATAAGAGATCAACCTTTGTGCCAGTGAAACACCAAGGGCCTTTCCGAAACTTACGAAGACCGTACAGGAGAGGAGTAAAATCAGCCTATACGCAAATGTTCATATAATTGACGTGACGAAAATCAACGCTGTGTTGATAACAAAAACCAGCCATTCGGGAACCCAGTCAAATAAGACACCCCTCATCACGAGGTAGTTACCTAATTGAACGGCCGAAATGAAGCTGACGTTGTGAAGACCATCTTGGGCTACCGATACAAGGGGAATTAACCACAGCTTACGACCAGTGAATATATGTAGGATCTGTAGTTTTTTCACGTAGAGGCTCCAGTGGATAGTGATTAGCATTTTGACGACAAGTGTTGGAAGTTTCCGTTAGCGCCACTGCGCGATGCACTGCAGTGAAACATTCGTGATGCTTCTTCCGTAAGTAACAGCTGTTACGTGACGGCAAAAAACTGCTGTCGTGTAAGAAATCAATTCGGCACGTTTTTCACTCAGGATGAACTTATATTCTAGTGGATGGTCTAAACACAAGCGGGCAATGAGAACATATCACACGCTCACAACATTATCCGTTCAGATTTCAGTTTCTTCGGAAATTCCTGCACCTACTTGTACGTTCCGAACCGATTAACTCCTCTGCAAAAAACAAACCACCTTGCATCAACTGCCTGTTAACCCAGATGTTCTTTTGATAGATGTAAACGAATCGTCGGCGGAGCATAGTCAGCCCTGGAAAGGGTCATTTTCGTGCATATTCCACCTCCATCTGAGTTCCTTTTTAACACACCTTTGCACAATTCACCGCACTTGACAGTGGCTAAGGCCATATGTGTCCGCAATTTTTTAAACGTCTACAAATACCAAAAATCGAGTTACAGCAAGTTGAACGGCCATATTTCCGCTAAAAGTCTTCCATAAATGGCCATAGAAATCAATGAGGAAAAAAGTGCGCTCGATCGATTGACACAAACGTGCGGCCGGTGATTGGAGTTCATACGAACCCAAGAGTAATTTCAACCGTAGCTGTAGTTACTTTATAATCCGATCTAGACAGGCCGGTAGCCTCACTACTATGTGAGTTGCGTAACCAGCGAAGTCGGTTCCTGTAACCTCACAAGTGAAATGAACGCTGAGACCGTTGGCCTGACCTAGCTTGGCAAGTCCGCTTCACCCAAGCTATTGTTTACGAGGTATGGACAACATAACAAAGAACAACTGTGATAAACTCCCATTTTTGAAGGCGTCGTCAGTTTTTCTCAAACTGGTGTGCTAGCTGTGTGAATATTTCCTGACGAATGTGTACTTATGAGTGGAATATTTTGGTTTTCCTTGGGTCAAGTATTACTGGCCCCAGGAGTCTCTCATATACTGGATAACTGTGCTCCATTGGATATATGGGAATAACCCTGGCAATAAACGTTATCGCTAGAGTTCACTCCGCGTTGGGTGGTGATGGAGTCCCCAACTGTACCCTCGTCTTCTATGACTGTGTGGACTGCACACGGACGTGCGGACCTGATCAGGGAATCCGCCATCTCAGCGGACAAGACGAGCGAATTTCCCTCAAACACACTGAGCCTTGTGTTTGTCTGTTGCTACAGCGCGTTCCCGCTCACATCTGCTACCATTGCGATTCATCGGTCAACCACGCCACATTCGTCTGCTTTGGCCTCACTTCTACGGTAATTATAGCAAACAAACGTAGTTGCCCACCGCCATCACGATTGCTAATTCGCGGAACATTCCAACCCGCTATGTAGACCATGAGACGATATGTATTGCAGTGAATACACAGGGCAGTTACCCACAGTGCGCGTCTACGCACTGTGACAGCTAGCCCAGTGAGTGATGGAGATTTCCGGGTGCCGCAGAGGAGCACGTGGTGCATTGGTCGAGGACAAGCCATTTTTTGTGTTGAAAACGGCAATTTTCTCCATGGCTATAGGATGACGACAATACTTTACGTAACATAGCCAACCTCAGCAAACACTTGTTCCCAACATTCGGAAAGGCATGATGGTCGGTCACAGATGGAACTCAACCGCTTGTGAGTGTGTGAAAGAACACGAGAGGAATCATAAAATCAGCTGGACCTGTTGGTGGGCCCTACGCCATACCGTCACTACGCAAAGCAACGTTCAAAATCAACGAGCACACCGTTTAACTGCCAGGTAACTTTAAACAGCTTAGATCGAAAGTACGAAATCGGGAACGAGATTAGTGGTGAGTAGGATTCAATGGGTATCCGCTTTTTATTAGGACTTATTTTTTAAGCCTGCACATCACCCAAAGTTGATAGACCAGTGTCCTGACTGTATTTCATTTTGTGACAGAAAAGCAACCTATCAATTTCCCTTAGAAATGCATTATTCGGAGATCTGACAACTCCGATTTGTCAGTAACAAGTAATCAGGTCACATGACTTGAGCTTAGATAGCATCTAGGTAGGGGCATTGAAGACAGAGGTCAGTTTCTTCTGTGACAAATGAAGAGTTATCTATGATATGCTATCTTACTGCTTGGTTGTGCTGCGCTTGTCGGATCGTTTGTCGTACGTAATTTTAAGTGGTGAAAACAGACACACAAACGTAACCTTTCGGGATCGAATTCACTTTAGCCTCCCTGCGTTAGACAACAACATAGCTCGAAAGCTATTTAATTGGAGTTCTTGATGTGTTTGTATCTACATAAGCTGACTGAATATCCAAGGCATACCTTGGAATGTTTGTCGGTTTTTTCTAGGCTTCTTGTCTCTCGCTTCAATGCTTTCACGCCACGGCAGTGAAAGGTCGTTGCTCATTAGTGTCGTTAAAAGGAATGAAAATGACGGAGTACAGTCGAGAAGGTATAAGGATTTTCAATGAGCATGGGAAGATAAGTCCATTTAGGTGGTGGGCTCACACTGCTTTTGGCATAGCACCACCACCGATTTATAAGTGTCTCATGTAGATTGGCTTGTCACACTCTTGTTCAGAAAGCTACTGATCTGCAGTGTGCGTTCAATAGTCGTCAACTGAACATTAATAACCAACAGCATGATATAGTGTCGTAGCGCTCTATTCGTTCGTACTTTGTAGTGAGGCGTCTGAAAGTGGCTTCTCCCCACTTATAGGCAGCACTTTTGCGTGTTGTAAAACGTGTTGGGTTGCGAGCTCTGTACACAAATTCCTGCATGTACCCAGTACTGCTGGGATCATTCACCACGAACACATCAGTGTGGTCGAAAATAACCTGCGTCCATTTCATTTCAGTTACCTGGAAATATGCTGAAGCGCCTACAGAAATGCATCGAATGGGAGCCACCGGAACCGTACACCCGCTTGCTGTTACTGTTCTCTCTTCCGGACTCGTCAGCTGGAGGTTCGACTATCACTGGAAGAAAGCATTCCGCCAAGAAAGGGAGCTCACACGATCGGACGGCACCAATTCACACAACATCTCACTCACTCCCAGGACTGACGGCCGAATCGCTTCTGGCTTGTCAAGCAAATAGCCTCATGGGGTGTAATCCCCTATCAAAGACGTCCAAAGGACTGCCTGAGGAAACTGCGATCCTCACAGGCGGAGTACAATGTGCTGGTCACGCGCTGGCTTCGAGCGCTCCCTATTCAAGTGATGGTGTGGGCACGGGTGTAGGGATAGGAGCCGGAGCGTTGGGAACAGACTTGCTCACCAGTCGCCTAGTCGCATGGCTGAAGAAACATATATTCGTACTTGGTCGAAACGAGGATCAGCACTCAACAGCCACGCATATATTTGTCCACTAAGAACTATGCGTCTCTGTTGAATGATCTGCATTAGGAAGCTGATTACAACTAATTTATTATGATTACCAAGCATAATAGTCACCGTGTTTTACTCTATTTCATGAATCATGTCTCGATCACTTCTGTTCCTGTTCAGTACATTGTAAAACACCACACACTTTCTTCCAGTTCCATTCGAAAGATGTCGGCCACAGTATTTTCAATTAGGCAAGGTTGTGAAGGACAGATTCCTATATATCGGAATCAAAACGTTAGAGATATCAAACCGAGACGCCGAGACTGTATCCAACAATTAATTAGGTTACATGTATTAAACATTCAGAACTATATGAATGTAAACAGACCTGAGGGAAATTCCCACCCAAGCGCCCCTGGGAGTCTGAAAAATAACTGCGGTGCTCAATCGACAGATTAACTGCCACCAGATCAACAGTCGACCTTACGACATTTGGTGAGGGCCTATTGATACCAAGAAACAAACCGGAATTAGCAACTCTAAACACTCAGTCGAATAAGCAAGCCAAACTGAAAGGCAACTATATGTAGGGTACAAAAGGCGTTTGATTCTCAAGGTAACGAAATGCAGTCCAAGAAGCTCGAAAATGGCTCAGATATGTCAGTTCATATACTGAAGACCCGCTGAATCGGATGTGCCAGTAAATGTACAACCCATTCAGGTCTCACGCGACACATTGGATGCATCTGTGCCGAAGCAGGCACAACTGTCGATTGTAGTTACGGAGCTAGGCTCTCGTCCATTCCTATCAGCCTGACCCTAGATTCAGGTATTCAGAATAGATATACATTCAAAGACATACCTCGGATCTCAGATTACTGTCAGAGGCCACACATTTGACTACACCGTGGTCGCTTTCATCAGGAACAAACCATAGCAGTTCGGTCACGCACTCCAACATACGCACACGGATCCAAGCCCATAATGATGGGGTCAAATGGAGGTGATACTTGGCTACGTTTGCACTTGAATGCAGAACGTACTACATTAAATCACATACATGACCGTTTTATAAAAAAATTATTCCCGACTTTCCACGAACGCTTACTGGATCAACCGAAGGGCAAGTATACCCGACGAATGTACTAAACATGGTCAGTAACTAGACAATCAGACCCCTAGCAATGGCAAGTCATCGAACGTCGTTCGATAAAAAACAATACCGTCTATCAATGGAATAGTAAAAAAGGTCAATTACAATCATCTTTACTAAACATCAGGAAACCCGCAGTAAAATTCTTAAATAGTGCAAAAATCTTAATCGTGGAAAGACCTCGGTGGAAAAAGTGGACAGGTGCACCTTACATACGTTGTTTGAGGCGTTCGGAGCGAAAACGCGAGGGTCGCGAGGATTCTTGCTGGATGGGTACAGGAGAGGAGATGTCAGTTGTGATAGAGTCTCGTTCGACAATGCCACCGAAAGGCTGTGTGGATTGTCGCTCCAAGGCAACCACGCTATCAGAAATCTTCCCAAACTTATTTATCATATCAACAGCTTCAGTTACGGTCAAAGTAGAGAGATCAGTCACTTCCGATCGTGCGATGGGCCCCGAAACCGAGCTGTGCTGGAAATATATTGTGGTTACCGTTTCGTCCGAGTCTGACCCACTGGCACCACTGCTCTGGTCACGAAACCGCACTTTGCGTTTCACAGTTTCAGAAGGCATCTGACTTAGTAACCTTCGTTCCTCCTGGCGACTCTGAATGTGCTTCTGCCTCCACTGGCGTTCAGTGTCAGAATCGTAGTTTTCTCGAATCTCAACTTCCTCGTCCTCACCAATTGAAGCATCCGAGTTTCCGGGACCAGACAAAATACGCCGGGTTTGCGAGAACTCCGAGGTGTACTGTTTCCGGTCTTCCAGCAAACTTTTTTGCTGCTCAAGTAATCCGATACTCTCATCCAACTTCGAAATTCGACGTTGGAGCAGTTGAACTGCCTCATAGGTTGAAAGTTCCGCGAAATATTCATTGTTTCCACCGAGATGTACAAGAATTTCATTGGTGTGCACAAGTCTGCCAAAAACTAGAGCCTTGCGGGCGAACGGCAAATAGGCAGGCTTTGTTAACGACTTTTGTAACTCTTGAAGCTTTGCTATTACGTTCTCATAATCCAACTTGAATTCCTTGAGTTGCTCGAGATTCAAACTTGTTCGGGTGATGCCACTTTCTTGTTCCTCCAGGAGTCTGACGAAATTTTGATCACTCATCGGGAATGCTAAATAGCTCGTGTACGGATCGACGTTGCTCGTCAAATCATGACAGAAACCTGCAAAAGAAAGGGAATAGCAGCTTATTTTTCACCGCAAGTGGCCACTGGCAACAAAAGATTATAGATTACCAGTAAGTGCTTTCCTCGGCACCAGGATTATTATAAACTAAATCGACCTAGTCCATTTGGCTGGAAGAGCCCACCTAATTTGGTCTAAAGCCAGACCGATTAGTCATAAAACCTTATAAATGTACCCTAGCCTACTTATCCCCGACCTAAAGCTGCCACCTTGACGTGGTGGTCGGGCTTCAGTGCTGCAATGATCCTGCGAGCTACACTGGCTGGAACTTCGTTCCACAAGGTGCAACCATGCCAGGAAGGCCAAAGGGGAGCAGCCAGACCAAGAGCAGCGAGACCCCGTACTACGAGTAATCGT